TTTAAGCTAATATGAAAAATTGTATTTACAATGTCAACTAATATGAACTAAATGCATTTTGGGTAATAGAAGTTATTACATAAATATGCTTATGTTGATTAACTCTCAAAATTATAATAAACATTGAAGAATGCTTCAATGTACTAACTGTACTAACAATGTATTACTGTACTAACAGTGAATTTCTCCAAAGAGTCTCTGGGGAGAAAGAGGGAGTCATAATGGGAATCACTCCAGTATTTTTTTTAGTTATACTATCTGCCTAATTCATGCTCAGAAAACACTTGTTGACTATGATGAAGGAGCCAGCAATAGAAGGAATGGTTAAAGGTTTAGAAGTCGGAGGAAGACGGGAAAGAAAAGTAAGTTCGTTCAAATTTTGAGATGAAGTGGCCTGTGGATGGAGATAAGAGCCGTGGGCCTAGTCAAGTCTGGAGCACTGTAGTCTCCGACAGCCAGTAGCAGAACTCACATTCAAACCCAGGTCTCCATTCTCCCAGGGCCTTAATATTCCCTTTACAGCAATGACTTTGATCTTTCCTGAAGAGGCTTTGGAAAGTGTAGAGCAAACCATTATAACCAGACAGCTCAATATACATGTTTTTAAAAGATTTTATTTATTTATTTTTTGAGAGAAGGGGAGGGAGAGAGAAAGGGGAAGAAATATCAATGTTTGGTTGCCTCTCACATGGCCCCCACTGGGGGCCTGGCCTGAAACCCAAGTGTGTGTCCTGACTGGGAATTGAACCAGCGACCCTTTGGTTCACAGCCTGTGCTCAATCCACTGAGCTACACAAGCCAGGGCTCAATATACATTTTTACATGCACAAATTTTATTGCTAAGAATGGAATTAATGCATGTATCTATTCAGTGTGCTGTGCTCCTGCCCAGCCTGTGTAAGACCACCTGGTGGCACTTCAGTGACATGATTCCAAGCTGGACACTTACCATTTCTTACAGGGCTTCTGAAATGACTCCATGCTTCCCTTGAGCTGTGACATGTTCTATTTTCACATTTTTAAACATTGGCTGCATATCCCACAGGTGGATCAGACTCTATTCTCTTCCAATATGAGTACTATTGTGTGGCTTATTCTTTGTGACTTTTCCATCTGTCCCAGTGGGATGTAGGTATGACATATGAGACTTTCAAAAATATTTCTAAATGACCAATGATGAATCAGTTATACAAAATTACGGTGGGATATAACATTTAGAACTCCTAGGTCTCATTGTATTGTCATCAATTTGAGCCAAGCATTATAGGACAAATTAGCATTTCTATGTGTAGTGAAAGAGACAATCTTTACTTATTTGGCTTCCAATGTTTTCACATCAGCAATTGCATTTTTTGACACTGGTAGAGCCTACGTTACTTTATTCTCTCTGCCCCACCACTCCTTTCCTTCCATCCACCTTTATCACTGTTATTCAACATTGACTAGCTTGAGAAAAATCTATGGTTTTTAAAGATTTTACTTATTTTCAGAGAGGGTAAGAGAGGGAGAGGGAAACACTGATGTGAGAAACACTGATCAGTTTGCCTCTTGCACACCCTCAACTAGGGACCTGGCCCTCAATCCAGGTCTGTGCCCTGACCAGGAACTGAAATGCAGACCTTTTGGTTCACAGGCCAGCACTCAATCAACTGAGCCACAAGAGCCAGGGCAAAAAAATCTATGGTTTTTAAAAGCAGCAAAATACTTTCAGAAGGTACACTGGTTATTTTCTTTAAAAAATCATCCTTCCATATATCAGGTACTGCTGAAGCACCTTACATAGAATGATAAGAAACAGCCTACTTTCCTCATGGAGATACATCCTTGTAAGTGCTTTAAAAATGGGTATCTAAACTGTACATTCATGATCACACAACTGTGCCATTCCCACCACACACAGTATGAGATAGGTGGGTAGGTTGGCAAGCCCAATTTTATTTTGTTAAATACTGTGTTTTTTTGTTGTTGTTGTTGTTACCCTGCTTTAAGAATTACTGTATTGCCTTATTTTAAATATTCTTTAAAAGGGAATGGTAACAGAATAACCTTGATTTTTTTTGTTTGTTTGTCAGATTGTTTCTAGGCAGGCTGTTCCCATGGCAACGAAAGCAACCATAAAAGAGTATTGGGAGCTGTCTAGAACATCCCTGACTACAAAAAATGTTGAAAATATCATTGCAAACAGAGGCCTGGTTGACATTTGAACTACATACTATCACAACAAAAGAATACACAAAATGCTTCAATTTTTTTCTTCCCTATATAGTTCCCAAATTATCATTTCATTTGATACTGAAAACATTTCATTGTAAACAGGACTGGCATAATTAACTTCATTTAAAAAATGTAACTGTGAGAAGACATGGGCTTCTTCTTTTCCTTTTCCTCGTTATAGTAATAAAAGATGTAATGTCCCGTTTGAAAATAAAGGAAAAATCATTTCCCAATAAAAAAATTAACACCAAATAGCCCTGGCCAGGTGGCTCAGTTGGTTGTAGTGTCACCCTACACCAAAAGGTCAAGGGTTCAATTGCTGGTCAGGGCACATACCCAGGTTGAGGGTTCAATTCCCATTTGGGACACATATGGGAGGCAACCAATCGATTTTTCTCTCACATCAATGTTTCCCTCCCTCCCTTTCTCAAATCAATAAACATATCCTTGGGTGAGGATAAAATAATTAACTACAAATGTAAAACAAATATATATTGCCTTCAACAAATTAGAAGACACTTGTAACCTCAACCACAATACATGAGAAAGAACTAATAGAGGAAAGGTCAGGCAGGGAGATGCCTGAAGAGAATGTTTATAATTTTAGAACTCACTCATTAGAACAAGACTCCAAAAGAGATGGCATAATCTGAGGGGCAAAGCCAGTTCTTTGTCTGAAGTGATGAGAACGGACGAGCACCAGCAGCAGGGACTTTCTGGAGACTGCCTGTTACCAAAGAGCAGTAGGAGAGGCAAAGCCAAAGTGGGGAATGCAGACATGTCACATTTATAAGGATCAGTCTGCAGATGAGATGGAGACAGTGGCGGGAAGAGACCCTGAAGGTGAGAGAATGAAAGGCTAAAACAGCTCTCTCAAACCCACAAATCTGTCATGGAGCTCCCCTATAACCTAGGAAGTACTATTAGCCCAAAATTCTGTCCTACCTATCACAGGAATTTTTCAAATAGATGCACCAGAAGGAAATTTGCCTCATTTAAAGATAGTAATTGAGAATGAAACTGCATAGCACTCATATAAAAACACTCCAAGAAAAGGAGGAAATCAGAGAAACAGCAGATAAAATCATTCAAAAGAAAAAAGTAGTTTACTAATAATAAGCACATGAAATACATGACCAAATATACTGTCATAATTCAAAGAACTTAAGGAAACAAACAGTCCATGGAGAGACATGGGTGGTCAGAACCACCATGGCAAAATGACCAAAGGAAATGCAATATAAACAAACAGTTCAGAAAAGAACAAGGAAAGAAAAAAAAATAATAAAGCCAACCTGAGAAATAAATGCCTCATCAGAAAGAACACAGAGGTGATAAACTAAACTAGAAGGCAAAGAGGAGATAAAATGAAATGATTTTCATCTTGACTAACCAAAGATTCAAAATACAGCATTTTAATTGATAAGCATGTAATGAAGGCATAAACATACTTATAGGCATAAAGTTAAACACAAGAAGAACTGAGGAAATAATATAATCAACTAAAACTGCAATAGAAGAAAGAAGGAAGTATACAAATTGGACATTGCTCAATTAGCAAGGGGTTATATATAATTTAAAATTATAGTTAAGAAAACTAGTAGTGTAACAGAGAAAACTAGAACACAGACACTATTATAAAGGTATGGTGTACTCTATACAATGTTGATTACTCATCTGTTACCCACTTTTCCCTCTCCTCCTTCCTACCAGAACACTAATTTTTGTCATATATCCATCCTTTCTTCACACAATCTTGTGCTTTAGGGCAGCAGTTCTTAACTGGGCGTGATTCTGCCCTCCAAGAGACCTATGGTAATGTCTGCAGACATCTCTGACTTCACAGTTTAGGAGATGCTACTGGCATTTAGGGTACAGGCCAGAAGGCGACTGGCTCCAGGCTACAACCCTGTGTGATCTTTCAGGCCTTACTGTATACAACTGCAAATGTTTTGCCTGGCAGGCTTCCTGGGACAAAGCTGTTCTATCCACAGTCTTCCAAGGGAGTTGTAGTCAAGAGGTCGAGCCAGCATGCCCCCGAGCCAGCATGCTCACATGCATGCCTGTGTTCCTGGCCTAGGCACCACCTCCAGAGGCCTCCTTAGCAGGTGACCTTGGCTGAGACATTTTTTTTTAAAGATTTTATTTATTTATTTTTAGAGAGGGAAGGAAGGGAGGAAGAGAGGGAGAGAGAGAGAAACATCAATGTGCGGTTGCTGGGGGTCATGGCCTGCAACCCAGGCATGTGCCCTGACTGGGAATCGAACCTGCGACACTTTGGTTCACAGCCTGTGCTCAATCCACTGAGCTACGCCTGCCAGGGGGCTGAGACATTTTTTAGCTGACTTCACTGAGACCTCCTTATGGGAGTAAGACCTTGATCAAGACATTGTTTTCCATTCTGATTCAGTGTTTTTCACTCCTAGCCCTTCCCCCTCTTCTTGCTCCCGGCCTCCACAGTTCATAAGGCTGGGCCTTTTGGCTCAGTGCTCAACTGCAGTGAGACAATTTTCTCCACCTGCACGTGGAGGAAATGTCCACGTAGACTGCACTGTGTAGACTGCACATAGAATGTCCAGTCTATAAAGCAATATTACTGAGTTTGGTAACTGCAGTAGAATCATAGCTCTTATATAACAATGGAAAAAGTGATTTCTACTGAAGTTTCTAGAAAATTAATATATTGTGATATGTATAGCCAATAATAAGGAATTTTATTTAATATGTAAGAGAGAGAGATAAAGAATTACTTAGAAATAAATAAAAATTTGTCATTTAAGTCACTATCTGATTCTGGAAATAAAATATTTTAATTCAGTTCCACTTAAAAAATAAAAGTAGTTTCCTTACCCCCACTATGAGCACATTAGCCACATTTTTACATACAAAAAGCTTAGGTACATTCAACTGTTTATAAGACAGGTCTCCACATAATACATTTACATTCATGTGAAGAATACAAACTTACATAATTGTATATATTTGTGACTTTTACATCTGGTACCTTTTAAAACTAACATGGAATATGACTATTTTCTAAAAGTCAGTTCATATATGATGATTTAAGGTTAGAAGAGCTCTTTCGAAGAATTTTAATAGTTGTATTCATATGAGAATTTAATAATTTTTTAACAGTAAGCTTCAAGCTAAAGCTTTAGCAATATAAATTACCTGGCTGGCAATGCATGGATTTCTTACCAGGTTGTACTGTTTGGTTTACAGTTTAAGTCATTTCAAGTTGTAAATAATTAACTATTTGTGCAGAGGTAAAAAAGCACCAAAGGTAATATTTTTTTCACATCATACATGAAATCACAACACAATGATCTCAATTTCCCTTTGAAATCTAATCACATGAAAAAAGCATTTATTCGAATGGTCAATCTTTAAGCTTTCTTAGTGAGATCAAGTGATACACTAGACATAAAAAGTGAAAACAGGTGCTATGGAATTCAGATATTCTTCTCACGCTGATGATTTTCCTCTTTTTGAACTTTTCCTTAAATCTAAAAAGAACTCTGAAAATAAGTGTTACATTTTATAAGCTTGTCAATTATATCTCTTAAAAAGAAACTCTAAGGATGTCTTTTATTGACAATATATGAAGCAAAATTTTCCTGATGAACAAAAGAACTTTATGGTAAGTAAATATATAATGAAAATATTTTTTACAAATTAATATATAAATTTATGTGCATAAAGCTGTAGATATCCCAGCTGTATATGCAATATTTTAAATAACACACAATAAAAAAATTCAAAGCACAGATTGAAAAAATAACCCCTAGACTATAACTCCAGTTATTAAATATTGCAGCATATATGCAGTTGTTAACAATGGCAGGGGAAATGTTTATAATCTAAATGGTCAATGTACCATTTCTCTTTGGAAGTGTACGTTTTAAAAGTCCCAAATATGTAATCTGGACCATCAAATTTCAACCAAAGCTACAGGTTTTTAAAGCCAAGATGCCATCCCATGATAATGAAGTATGTACAGAAGCCACTTCACAGATTCTTCATGGAACAGTGTTACTGGTACCACACTGGTACCGGCCAGCTGGGAATTTACGTACCTTTTCTTTACCACAGGCATATGGTAAACATCACAGTAAGAACAACAGATCTTCATTACCATAAGTTTTGCTACTCATAAAATGCTAATAAACATTGTTTTAAACATTTCCAGATTGTGACAAGTTTCTTACCCGAATATATACAAAGAACTCTTCCAGAGGTCACATAGTTTTAAATGAATACAGAGAGATATAAGAAGAAACATGAACTATTTGCTCTGACAGCCTTGAGCCAAGACTTACTACATGACTTTTTCTACTAAACGTGAATTTTTTTAAGTATGAGGAGTTTTGGCTCCTGCTAGAAGATTTTATTTCTTCTTCCCAGTGTTTTTTTTGTGTTCATGCATTTCTGTTTTGTTAGTTATACTCTTTCTCCGAGATGAGGTATTTGGAGCAACTGCATTAGAGGGTCCACTGGTGGCTAAAAAAAAAAAAGAAAGAAAAAAGAAAAACTATTGCTTAGATTTTCACAAGCAATTCTAGTTTAAATAATACTGCTGAGCAACAAAATAATACTTTTATGTTATAACTTAATGTAAATGAAATGTTGTAAACATTTAACAGAGCATTTTTAACCTTTCACTTTTTAGAATTCAACACCAATACAGAAAATCAACATCAATGGTCTGTATTCACAAAACAAATTTCTCTTTTCACTCTACATTCTTCCTGGGAAACTAATTTCTTGCATCATTTTAAACTATCATCTATTGTGCTAACAACCTACAAATTTATACTTCTGTCTCAGGCCTTTCCCTTACATCAAGATCAGTCTATCCCTACATAAACCTCTTACATAGAGGTTTACTAGAAACCCCTATGTAAGTATCTGACAGCAAATATCAACCTAACAAATTTAAAACTGAACTTACCATTTTCCTGATTAACATCTATTTTCTCTTATATCTCCTACTTATAAGATATCTCTTCTTTCTTCTTATCTAAAAAGCTAAAATGTTAGAAAACTAGAATATTTCTTGGCTTGGACTCATCCTTCTACATGCAAACAAACATCAAATCCTAATAGTTACAGAAAAGCAATTCTAAGCCGAGTTACACTTCTGTACAAGTGCATAAGATCATGTCAGACCAATCCTCCTGCACATAACAAGTATTAATCCCAGATAAAGTATGAAAGTGAACAAGGGTGGACATATACTGGAAAAAAGTCAATGCTTGAAAGAAGTAAACATTAAGAGATGGATGTGGACCCCCTCTGCCCCCACCTTTTAAAAAAGCTTTTGGCCTACGAACAGGATCCACTATGCACCAGGTGAAATGGCTAAAACTCCACATACAACTCTGTCTCACCAGCATGAAGAACCAGAAGACCAGTATTGGGACAATTATAGCTGCTGGAAATTCAGGTGGGAAATCGGAGAGCCCCCAATTCTTTGTATAAACCCTCATCAAATGTATGGCCTGAGCAGAGTAAACTCCAAGAATTTCAGCTAAGGCCAAAAGAAGTGAAGTGACAGTGGAGCTGCCAGACACTTTAAGGGACACAGTTTTGCAATCTGAGTTCAGTCAAGGTTAATGCTTTGCTAAAAAAAAAAAAACAAAAAAACAAAACAAAACAAAAAAACATTCAATACTTTTTGGAGGAACATAATAGAAATGAGAGTCCAAGTTTTCTACAATATATCATTCATAATATCTAGGATACGATCCAAAATTACTCAATATATGAAAAAACAGGAAAACATCTTTCTTCTTGACAATCGGTAAATTCAGAGAGACTAATCTTGAGGTCAGCTAGATTAACAGATAAGTACCTTTAAAGCAACCTTGCTTTAGTTTTAAAGTAAACTAAAGCAGTTTAACTATACTCAAGAATAAAGGAAAATATGCTTACAGTGAATAAAAATACAGAAAATCTCTAAAGAAAAACTATAAAGAAGAATCAAAAAGAATGTCTAGAACTAAAGAATATCTGAAATAAAAATGAACTAGATGGGTTTAATGGTAGAACGGAAATGACAGGTAGAAGTGAACATCAACAAGGATTAGTAGCCCTCCAAAAAAACTTTCATATAAAATGACTAAAACGATGCCTAAGCTCAACAGAAAAGCGAAAGAAGGCAGTCCATAAATTAGTTTTGGGAAAAGAATGAGTATGCAATATATTTTATTAACAGATGTAGGGGCCAGAGAAGACAACTGACAGAAAAAATACAAATATATCAATAGGATCCAGTAAGATTTTTAATCATTAGGATTAAATAACTTCCTAGATTGTATTGCTCTTACTTAAAAATAGATTACACAGTTTAAAAGCAAACTAATTGCTACACAGAGTCCATACATTCACAGACATGCCTAACCTGGCTTGCTGCTCACTTTAGTACTCTTTAAGGTGGTGGGTGGTGTTGGGAGGATCTTTGCAGGTGTGTATGTATTTAGAGACACTTTTCTTCTCATTACTGGACTGGAACGTGAAACTGCAGAAGCTGAGAAGAAAACAACAAACAAATGTGGTAATTCAGTAATTTCCTGCCAATTCTATCTTTACATTTTAGAAAATTTCTTATGACATATTCAGTGACCATGTGAATACACATAATATCAGGGGAAAACAGACAAGGCAAGGTTTTCAGGTAAATTCAGCAAATCCATCCTTCCTATAAAAAAGTTCTCTCACTTACTCTTAGCCAAATACAGGTGCTGTTTATAATATAAACAATAAACATTTTACTATTCTCCAAAGAATGCCACAAGAATATAGCCGCAGACTTAATTTTATTCTGCCCTGATAGAAACTCAGCTCCCTAAAGAATGGCAGAGAGCTGAGAGCACAGTTTTATTGCCTAGTAACAGAAGACAGAGTCCCAAATTGTTTTTTTCTCAAAAAGATCAAGTAGAGATTCAGGGATAGTTGTCCTATAGCAGAGTAGTCTAAATTAGCATACTTAAGGATAAACTAACTATAAGTAATTAAATAAATCAGATTGTTTTCCTATATTACCCAGCTAGATCTATCTTCATGCAACAGAATTTTAAAGATTTATTTTCTCTCTCTAATTAAGGTGGGAAGATTGAGAGGTGTGAAAAAGAAAAGTAGAGATAATTCCTAAATATAGAATCCTTTGGAGAAAAACAGGCCAGAGGTGGGGAGCTACTGGCACGAGCTTGTGGGTTTGAAAGAAAGGGAGGTGAGGAGATAAATTTTAAAAAGATTTGCCTATAACTCTGCATGGTGCAGGTGGGTACAGGGAATGGCAGGGGAATACTTTGCAAAGTACATGACTGTCTAACAACTATGCTGTACACCTAAAGCTAGAACAAGATAATATTGAATGTAAACTGTAATTGAAAAATAAAACTAAAAAAAAAAAAAAAAAGGATTTATTTTTCACTTTTTGGAGAGGACCTTATACAATAAACAATGTGTCTAAAAATCAGTATGTCTCTAAAAACGTGGGCCAATTATGGCAAATGCGTCTTAGGTGGTTGATACCTACACACTGAACGAATATGATGACTATAAATTCCACTGGCAGAATCTCAAAGTAGTCACTAAAAGTGACAAGAAAGTCCTTAAAACATCATATAAAGCACTACACCATTGCTTAGCATTTTTCTGCTTGCATTTTTTTATCCTACCATGTTAACTTTCACCTCTAACTTACCCAGTTAGTATTCCTACACCTTTTCCTTTCCCTCAGTCCGATACTGTCAGTGCCCCATTATAAGCCATCTACCAGTAACCACAAAGTTAATTTTGTCCTAGGTGAGGAAAAACACTTTTGTAAGGAGAGGATTAATAATATTTTTTTCCCCTTGTAACACCACAAAATCAATGTAGTTCTATACTATGATGCTACTTCTTTGACAAGTTAGGGAAATATGTATAAATAATACAAATACACAGTGGGGCAAAAATAGGTTTATAGTTGTAAGTACATGAAAATTTATTCTTGTATTATTACTTATTAATTATTGTATTATTTTCCAAATGAACAACTGTAAACTTGCTTTTGTCCCACCCTGTATATTGTAATTACTAAATATTAATTCTGGAGTTACATTATAAAGTAAAAGATTCAGATAACTTCTTTTATAACTGGCAGCCTATTTTAATATTCAAAAAGAATTTAAAAATCCATATTCTTGAAGACCTGGGTTTTAGTCTTCCTCAATCACTAACCAGTTGATTTCCTCAGCAGTATCATTCTGTTTTTTCCTTTAAACAGTAAACTTTTCTCAAATGAAATGTTAAATAAAATGAAGCAAAGCAAATACTCTGGTTGAAGCAGCTGTCAAACACAAATGCAGCATCTTTCTCTTTCTCTGGAACTTCTAAAAGCTCTTGGGAATACAGTCTGAAGGCCAATACATTAGATTAGAATTCTCTCAAATAGTACATGTGGTGGCCAAGGAAAAAAAGAATAACAGCAAGAGTGGCTTTCATTCAAGCCCTCCAGTTTTATTCTCTGGAGAAACATATTTACAGCATTCTTCTCACAAAAAGGAGAACGTTATATACAGAATGTCTGTAACTTTTCTAAGATACGATTAGAACTCTCAAGGTTCTTAATTCTAAGCAGAGCACTCTCTCCCAAAACTAATGCTTCCTACACTGAGAACTCCAACGTGCAGAAGAATCTCAGAGAGCTGAAAATGACAAAAGCCACCTGACCTCTTATACCTAAAAAGGAAGCCTTAACATTTCCCTCAGAATAGTACTACGTGATATTTAAATTAAATGTATTACCAAAAAACTGTTTTCTCAAAAAATTAGTTTTGGAAAATGTGGGTAAGTAAGAAACTTAGCCTTTGTAACAATAGCTCCTTCAAGGGAGGGAGGAACTTACTTAGTCATAAACCCTTATATATCACACACACAAACTAACTTCTTCAGAATATGTTCCAAAGAACACAATTTAAAAAATGTCCTAGTTTTCTCTCTGTAGTCAAAAGCTCTTTCTGAATCAGCATGAGAACTTACCAAAGTGGAGAGGCGACGGCATGTGCACATGTGTAGGTTAATATCGACTGACATTTTACAATTTTCAAGGTCATTATAAAATGACATATAATGGGAATGTGAAAAAAGACCATGGCTCTATACTGATGACTTTTATTGCTGGGTCTTAGATTTTGTTTCTCTTTTTTGTAAAAATAAGTTTTGAGAGGAGTCAAAAAAAGTGGTATATTACAAATTCCAACAAATAATTCCAAATAATGTGCCTTTACAACCTTTTCTGTCCTAAAATTCAATTCGCTACCACTACTAGAGTTTATGTTTTTATAATTCTTTTTACATTCCGATAACATATACACCCCCCAAATTAAATAATAATAATTTTCCTACAAAGTTCAGGGGTCGTCTGTGGAACTTCACTTGATGGAGAAGCAATGGAAGCAAGAAATTCATCCACCTGCTTTAAAGACAGGGCATTGTGAAGAGTTTCTAGAGGACAAATAGATGGTACCATGGAATACAATTCAAAGCCTGGAAAACAAAAACAAACACAAAAACAAAAGTTGGATATTGAAAAAGATCAGTAATTACAAAGGCAGCAGACCACTGTTTAGAACTGGGTATTTCAGGCCTTTTCAGTCTGTCCCATGCAAACGAACTCGGTCTTTCAAGTCATGACACCAGATGCTATGCAATGTGTGGTTGGAACAGGGTGTGACAAAGATTTCCTTTTAAATGTAATCACACGGTACAGCATGCACAGCTTCATTTTATATTTTCATAAAATCTAAAAATAATACTTAAAGAAAAAAATCCACAGGGGCAAAACAGAAAAAAATACAATTTTTCAGTTTTGTATTTTTCAAAATCAGGTCTATTTGATAGATGAATAGCAGATTAGCAGATGCCAGGTTGCTTAAAGGTAACTTGTTGTTGAAAAACAATTAATACTTTCCTAGTCTTACCAGGACCAACAATGATCTCTAATGTGACCCCAAAAGAACACTAATTTGTTTATGCTGAGATTAAAATTCCAAAATATATTTCACCTACCTTTATTGTATTGGCAATAATTATATTATTGGACACTGCTAGCTGAGTAGTTAGGTCAAGTAAAAACTAATATAAAATACATGTATGTTTGCATACAATGGCACAGAAATACAAAACTTCGATGACACAAACCATGCAGATATACATCAATACCATCAGCGAAACAGAAGCGTTTAAATATACATTTTTAAAAAAAGACAAATAGGATATAGGTTATTTGCTTTTTATAAAAGTGGCTTTTAAAATTGCTTTCATATACAACCAAAATAACAAGTCTTTCTGCATCTACTCTTTCAAAAATCCAAATTAATTTTTTCCAGTGAAAATACTTTTAATACTTAAAAGTTTTACATAAAGTCTAATATTATTAATTAAAAAGTAAACATTACACTCAAAAAGACTGTGAAACTGTCTGCTTCAATAGGTATGTGCTCATTTTAACACTGACTGATATTTATCTAATTTTGAGAGGAAATATTGACCCAAGAACTAATTCTTAGCTAGAATAGGGAAACTTTGGCTAAAAGAGATTCTAATCTTCTTATGAAAACAACCAAAGGATTTACAAGACTGGTATGTTTGACTTTCAGGTGCAAACCAAAGCATGACATAACATTACCATATACCTAAAAAAAACCCCAACTTCGATACCATAATAGCAGCTAAAGCACCTAAATTCAGCACTAAAGAAATTAAGTTTGCACAAGTATTACATTTCTTTAAGTACAAGATTCATGCAAATAAGCGCAAACCCTTTCTTTGCAATACACTAAAATTAACAATGTGGTTTTTAATCCTTTCTTTAGAATGTTTGTAAGTCTTCCATCACAACTATTTTCCTCATTTGCCTGTTAGACTTTATTACAGGGAAATGACAATATAATCAAATCGTCTGGACTGCATTTTTTTTCCCATTTACCTTCAGTAAGCATTTCCTTTAACACACAATGAAAGGGTTAGCGCAGCAATTTGAAAAGCAACCCTATTGTCATGTTTAGAAGCTATAAAAACATACCACTGAAGCCTAGAAATTCCACAGAAATGAACCAGCACCTATAGAGGTGTAGGCGTTCTGCACAGAGGCCCAGAAAATAAGGTAAAGCACTGTCAGAAGGTAACTTGTTTCATCACGTTGCTTGAACTAAAGATGAAGGCAGGAATAAGTACACGATATGTGTTAAGATGAAAAAAACATGAAAGTTAGGGAAAATAAAAAGTGAAAGGGTCAAATGACAATTCATAGGACAGATAAGACAACACAATGTAAAAAAGAAAAAGACTCAAAAGAAATATTTCTAGAGTTGAGTGGAATATGTTTTATCTGCATTAAAGTCTCACAATGTGTGGAATAATCCACTCTTCAAAAGCCTAAACAAAAGAAACATAAATGTATTCTACTTTGTTAAATTTAACAAAAGTACTTTTTTTAGCTTCAGTTAACACAGATTTCTCCTATATAAAACTTGAAATACTGGCTACAAACACGAGCATTCTGCACAAAAACTATATTCAGTCATGAACCTGTAATGTCTCTTCTTAGAATTCTGGGACTTCTCTTTTTCTCGAGACTTCAGTTCTTACACATGTGGGTTCTTTAGAAGCTGCAGCTGTACCAAATAAGGACCCTTTTCTTCAAAAAGTAGCACTTAAACAGCTATAATGGAGGGAAAACACATTAAACTTTAAAGCTAAATTTCCACCTGCTGAGGATGAGACCTCACACCATCGTGGAGAAGCGTTAGTGGCCTGTTAGCTGAGGTGTGCCGCCACTGCTGTTGCAGAGTCTGGATGGGGAGAAGGACTATAAACGTGTGCTCAATCCTTTAGCTTCATGGAAGTTTTTAAAAGATCTGACTTGAGTTTTTGAAAGCCTTATTTGCATTCAAAAAGAAAAAAGTTCCAGAAATAAAAACAAATACCTTTATTCTGGATAACAGCAAAAACCTGTATGTCTTCGTTTAAATTCTTTAATCCTGAATTATTTCATAATGATTAGTCAATACTCCCTCTTGCCCCACAAGAACAAGCAAGCTCTATGTAAAAAGCTGTAAGAGTGCAACAATTCAGTTGATAAGTAATGGCCACAAAACACTTTTCTGTTTGGCCTCAATAACTCAATTTAACTGAATTGGCTTTCCAGATTTTTAGCTTAGTCTTCTTCCTATAAGAATTTCTCCAAATTTTAACAAAAATCTGAGGTACCAAAAGGAATTGGTTGCTTGACAACAGCACACAATAGTGCTACATGAAGACAAAGTGAATGCTGGATGAAATTTTCAGAATGCTCCAGACCAAGCTGAGTTTTGCTTTAGACAAAGAGCCAGGGACAAATGGTGCTATACAGTGAAATCTGCATCCTCTGGTTCCCCAGAACTTTTCAAAGACACATCTCATTTGGCTATTTGATGAGTGTGGCTCTGCATTTCTGTTAAATAACTCAATAAAACAACCATATAATCAGAAAATAAACTAAGAACAAAAAAACCCCATTAAAATGATTATGAATTAAGAAAATGAAGAATACTAGTTTTTTTTTAAAATTTGTGTAGATTGATCACTTCAGAAATTAAAAGGAATTTTCAGGTGCTAATTTAGTATTAAAACTCATGATAATTTGTGTTCATTTAAAAGTTTGATGACTAGTGTTATTATGTAAATTATAGCTGAAAAAGGGAGTTAGACAGTATCAGTAGTTTGGGTGAATTGAATTATAAACTGGAATTGTATGCCAATTGAAATTAAGGATGGAGAAGTGAATGATACTGTATACCCCAAATTTTGAAATAAAAGAAAAATAAAAAAAGGATGAAGCAGGGGAGTATCTTTTAAAATAAAAGCAAAACGTACCATTGGTTGGGTGTCGAGCAAATGAGATAGAAAACCTTTTAACAGCAGAACCGCGTGTGGCGTCTGAGAAAGAGAAAAACAGGTACCTGAAATTCATAACAGCTACCAAAAGAAGGACACTTAAAAAAGGGGGGAAAACAAATATATAAGGAAGTTAGTATTAAGTGACATGCAGAAGGGACAATGAGAAAGGTAATAAGCCAAATACTAGTTAAAAGTAAAATGGCTTGATGATAGAGGCAGTGTTTAATGAAAAATACAAAAGAAAGAAAAAGCAGGATGAGTGGGTAATTCAGATAAATCCATGTTTTACTGACTAAAATAAATTTGTGGATACATGAGAAAATATTTTAAATAAAGCTAATCCTGAAAAGGCTAACAAATATTCCTATTTACAAAAGGGACAAGCTTATATGAGCTCATGTAATTGAAAAATAAAATTAAAAAAAAATTCTAAATACCAAAACTTAAGGTATATTAATAGTAGTGAGAGGATCTGCTTCAAATAGGGGTTCTAAAATATTCTCATCCTATGTTTATTTTTATAAATATTGCCAATATAATATTTTCTTCTATTTATTAGATCAATATCAATAAGTAAAATAAGGATTAGCAGTGAACAAAATTTAAAAGATCAGAGAGAGATTTACTCCTTATAATAAGGCTTATCAATTATCTAAAAGAATAATACACATGATACGGTTCTAAATTTCATAGCCAATGAACTACTCATTGAATAGGTACTGCAAGTCTAACTACTATGAACTGCTTGATGAAACATGGATCTGAACTGTGGATAACAGACAGCAGTGATAGTCATTTAGGCAAAGGGTGCTAGGATTCCACTGGATTCAGTCAATGGCCTTAGGCTTGCCTTTGTGAAATATTGTATCCTCATGGGTGTATGCATGGGTGTGGGTATGAATCTGTGTGCATGTGTGCACATACCATCTATGCAGCCAGAAGAGGTCAGCTTTTTACGATGAGTACGAGCATAATCCTGTAGGTTAGGTGCGCTTGAAGAACCCCCGAGCACCGAGGTGCTAAACAGGCCCGCACAGTGTGACCCTGATGGGAGTTAGAGAAAATACATACAACAACGGGTGTTCTTCCATTCACATTGGGAATTCATGCAGCATGCAATAACATGGCTCTTACCACGCAGATTTGGCTATGCCTTGAACAGGCTTACAGTCACTTGTAATGCCAACTTTATTCTAATCAACCACTACTATTTATCATATGTACAAATGAGGGTAGATATTTAACGCTGGACAAAAAGTTGTCTTTGAAGAAAATAATATGCCCATATGATAAGTAGGTTTATACATATTAAAAGTATTAAAAACACTACCATAAAATTAATTTAGGGTGAGAAGGGATTCTGTCAGTCATTTGCATGAGCAGGCCACAGGAAAAAAATCTCTCCCACCACATATTAAATCAATATTTTTGGATGTATATCTTTAAATAATCTTTTCTAATGCCCCTGATTTTAAAATTGATATTTGTTATGAAATAACGCAAATGAAAGCTTACTTATGTGAAAGAAGACCAGGTGAAAACAATTCCTTTTAGGTCATCCAGACCTAAATCAGTTTAAATTCCAACACTTAAATGACTTAGATCTTAACAAGACCCCAATGAGATATATTATTAGTAAATAAAATAGAGTAAAAACTAATAATTTGTAGCATAAGTCTTTATACCCAAGCAAAACTTTCACTGGATATGGACTAAAAAATTTCTAATACATTATAATACATAAAGGAAGAAGAAATATATATATATATATATATACACACACACACATATATATATATTCCTGACAAGGTACTATGGGAACATTAAAACTATCAACATTAGCTATATGTAATTAATTAAAAATCTTCAAGTAGGTAGGCATCAACAGACGATTCATATATTTAGTATAGAGATCATAGTACATACATAGTTGAAACAAATTATTTATGTTTTTATTAAACCTATTTAGACAACTATTTACAGAAAATAATATGGCACAACCTCATATAGTTTATCAACAATGAGCTTAAAACCAAGTAAGTTTAGAGAGGTCTTTTTCAATGTTGCTTCGCTTGAGTGCCAGCAAAAACCAACTGTGTCCTATAGGCCAATGAGTACCACTGCCACTGTGCATGAGTTTTGCTTTGGTTTTCCATAAGAGACGATCAAAAGGAAAATTAATAATCCCCGATAGGCTCTGAAACACTCCCCATTTTTTTTCATTCAGAAAAGGTTCTTTTTTGTATGCAATAGTGTATTTTCATCTTTTCAACTGGGAAAAAATAAGGTTCCTTCCTAGATTGAAACATGTTGGTATTTTTAACTTACAAAATACAAGATTAAAAACTAGCATTGACAATTAGACTAAGTAGTTTATACTTGTGGGCATTCAAAAGGGTTACAAAACAAAATTAAAGGCTATTTCTTACTCAATCAAAATGTTGTATATTCTGAGTTGTACGACTCAACATTTCTGATTTAGTATACGTTAAATAAAAGCTAAAGCATAGCATTTGGTCATGCTCTCACCACTGAAGGGGTTTACTTGTGTGCAAAATTGTGAATGTAAGGTCTGGAATTCAAATTTTTCAGACCACGTACCTACAGTAGGGTTCTGCTTCTGTTCCACAAGAGTTCTTGGCGTTCGTAGGTAATTAGCATTTTCAGATACAACCTGCACAAGGAAAGCAGAAGAAATGAGGTAAAACAGTAAAATAAATTCAAAAGCCCATATTTCATTTGCAGCCTGTTCCAGACAGACATAGGTTAATAAGCTGTATGATAAATATTAGTAGAAATACATAAAACATGGAAGATCATGCAAGATCCCCTTCTGAAGGGAGTCCATTTCATATGAGGTCCTTGCAATGAAGTGGTGCGAAGCAGGCATTCAAGAATGAAATTGCATGTATGAAGCAAGACAGATGAAAAGAAACAATTAATAGATTGATATAATTTCACTCTCTCTTAAAAGAAGCCAAATGCCCACTCTTAAACAGCTCCTGTATTTGAAGGGGGAAAAAACAATCACATACAAAAGAAAAGACAGACAGAGACTGTTGAGATCACCATACAATTACTGATCCATGCACGGGCTTTATCAGAGTAACCTTTAAATATTCACAGCCTTAATGGATACCATAATCCCTTTTCCTATAATCAAAAGCATTATATTTCCAAAAGGAAATTGCTGATATTCTCAGAAAAGTCATGTGTAACAGCAGACCTTTCATTGTAAGTAAACAAACAAAAAAATGACAAAAACAATTTTAAGTTTCCAAATGTCATCACAGAAAGTCCTTCTGAAGTCATTTTATTTGACCCATATGGTTGAGGGGCAGATATATTGTCCCCTCTTATCTTAAAAAGAGCATTAAAATATTACATGACTAAAAAAAAAAAAATGCAATGCATGTATCCCTCCATTTGATACTTTCAGATCATAGAATAAGGGAGAGAATGATCAGTATTAGGTGCATCCTGCTAATTAACACAGGGCCTCATAAATTTTGGCCTTTAAAAAAGTGGTCACATTCTCAGCAAATTCCAAGTGAAATCTAATTTTTCAATTATGGGGGAAAAGCTATTTTTCTTACCATTGAAATATATAATACTGATTCAGAATGTTTTAAAGGGTAATTAAGTCAAAGAAAGATTTATTTTAAAAAATTACTAACAAACTAAAGTACCTGGAGTATAAATTTATTGATTTTTAAATCATGGATATTTAAAACCCTTGCAGTAAAAATGATAAACACATGCATTGTAAGTGATTTCTTTCCCTCAAGTAATGTCAGATATTGCAAGCATTTTTAAATAACTCAAACTTAAAAAAAAAAACAAAAAAACAGAAGGATTTACTCTGATGTAAAATACAAGGGATTAGATGTCCTCAAAGATAGCTGTTTGTTGCTCTGAATGCGGGGAGGAAAAATGTTTAATGAAGTAAAGTTTAAAAACCTGTTGCCATGAGCCAAAAATACTGGATGTGAAAGCCAATGATTTGGGGGAGACAGGGGAAGAAGTGATTTGTTCCCCTGATCTGCGTCTTCGACGCCCAGTACCCACACCACTGGTATAATGCAGCCAGGTACCAGTACCCTCTGGGCTAGACACACTCAGGGGGCTCTCTTCCTGGAAGTGAGAAAGGGGGCAAAAAAAAGAAAAAAAAAAAAAGCAGAGCATGCAAAGTTAGATACAACAGAGCCAATGATCAGAAAGAAAAAAAAATACAGTTTGTTTGCTTTTGCTTATCAATTTTTAAAAAACTATTAAAGAGTAATTTGGGAGCCAAATATTTCAATATTTGAGAAACTGACAGGAATGACATAAATCTAATTGTACATGATAACAATTATAAGAATTACCTTGCTGTTTTAGATATACAAAATATATTTATATTGCTGAATAGTTGTCCTTTCCCTCTTAAAATTAAAGAGATTTTAACAATTTTTTTATCTTAGTGAATTTCAAAATATAAAAGAATTCTTTATTTTAGATATTCAAGAAGTTCTATGCTATATTGGGTACAGTTTTCAACCCAAAGCATAAAAGAATCATGCAAAGGGTGAAAGAGATTTCAATGTATATCATGTAAAAAAGAAAATATGTCTGCTAGACACTATAAAAAAAATTAACCACAAGGTGGAGTTGAATGGTATTTTTTACACTTTCAAGCTATGTATTTGTTTACACCTTCCAACGATTATTGATAGAGTCCAGTAGGCAAAAACATGCAGCAAACATCCTCATTTTACATGTTTGCATGTTCAGGTTTCAGACAGTGAGGACAGAGTAAAATCTACTTGCACAAAATGAAGAGAATAGTCTTTTTCTCTGTGTGTCTTTTGGAAGTACAAACTTCTGATATCCATGGAGATGGCAGACGCTGGAAAGAGTCTTCAAGGTTTTACTTGAATAATTTACCTTATGGAAGTAAAAGTTTAGCATGGCATAGAAATAATCTCTTGAAAGCAACTATTTAAATATTTATGAGAAAAAAGTTTATAAATGTGTTCTATGTTTTAAGAGTTAACAAAGGGCAGTGATTTTGTTGAAGATTTTAAAAAAAATACAGGTTAGTTGCAAAATGATGACTATGTAAGTGTTACAGGCTTTTCTTGGAGTGCAAGAAAAGATTTAATGGTGAAATTCTGAACAATCTGATTAATTGTAGATTGCTTTGTTCTACATCATCAAAATCACTGCTCTCATATAAATGGTAATTTAGGTTATTTTCTAAAATTAAAAATACCTAAACATAACCCCAGGTTTCATAGTTTTTAATTAAGCTATAATAGAACTAATAATCCATGTTATACAATTTTAATCATCCTCTACTATAATCAACATAAAATATCACATTAAGTGGAAACCCTAACCAGCATACATTTTTCATTTTAAAATTGCAACCATCTATTGCATTCATGGGTATTTCTTTTATTATTAATTGTCAAATTAGGGCACAAATATTTAAAATTGAAGAATCATAAAGCATTTATATTTGTTTAATTTGGGGCTATAGAAATGCACATAATTCCTTTTTGTTGTTTATATTCTTACCAACTATTAGGTAATGTTATACTCTTAAGACTTGGTATAGTTAATTAGCAACAAAAATATTTTCTAGTTTAGAACTTGATGGTTCTTGCTTTATACTTTTACTCAAGCATTTAGAAAACATTTGTAAGCACTGATCTCAGTAAGTTCTTGGTAAATCATCTGACAAAGAATATAAATAATCCAAGCTAAAGGTATTTAAATTACAAAATGCACACAGATATTAAATATTTACTTAACAAGCTTCATTCCAACTATTCAACTTTCATTTTAAATGTTATTTTATTAACTATTTAAATGCTATTTTATTAGTTAGCATGACCATTAGCTTTAGTTATTTAATTGTAGATCTTAATACAAAGGTAAATTTTTTAAGTATCATCAAATTTTCAAATTCCTATATTGATTTTTACAATCAGACTAAAACTTAGAATTTCATATCTTAATCTACTGTGTCACTGGAATCAGTTGTTGCTGAAGCACCTCTGGCCATTCCTCTTTATTTTTAACCAAAATTATTTCTGATCCATTATTCAAAAATTATGACTTGCTCCATAATTAAATCTGTATTTTCTTTTCTGTTTTATTAAAATAGTTAGTTTACTTTGTGAAAAACATGCTCTGACACATGCGCTTACTTCGTTTGTAGCCATCTTCCTGGAGCGTGGCAGTGGCGACTTCCTGTGTATATGAATCGGTTCTGATACCATAGGTTTGAATAACAGTACACCTCGATCAACCTCATCTCTTCTAGAAGTATGTGGTTCATCATCGTTATCAATTTTAAAAGACCGCTTGCCTTCATTCTGTGCAAAAGAATACATTAAAAATTCAGATAAAAGAACAATCTCTTCTGATGAATAAATTGAATCACCAATTGGTATAGTGACTTAAAATACATATACAAGTTTGTTTATTCAAATGAATTAATAGTAATTAAACTCTTACAACAGCCTAGTATTATTCTGGGTATTGTGAAACAGATGACAGAATTTTTGACCTTAAAAAATACATATACTCTATAGGAATTTATCTGAAGAAACTGGAAACACTAATCTAAAAGAACATAAGCATCCCTATGTTCCATTAATGCAGTGTTATTTACAATCACCAAAATACGGAAGAGGCCCAAGTGTCCATAAGTAGATAAGTGAATAACACAAATATGGGATATTTACACAATAGAATACAGCTTGGCCAAAAAAAAAAAGGAAATTTTACCCTTTGCAACAGTATGGATGGATCTGGAGAACATTATGCTAAGTGAAATAAGCCAGAGGAAGACAAATATATGATTTCACTCATATGTGGAATCTAATGAACAAACTGAACTAACAAGCAAAATGGAGACAGACTCATACATACAGAACAGATGACAGCCCAGGGGGAGGGACAGGGTTTAGGGGGTGGAGAGAGAGAGCAAAAAGGAACAAGGACTCAAGGATGTGGACATCAGTGTGGTGATTGCAGTGGGGGAGGGCATAAGGGGAATAAATGGTAATGGAAGAAATACAATTAAAAATTTTCAAAAAAGAAATATACCTACTCTATTGAGAAATTAAACAATAATTCAACAACAAAGCTATATAAAACAAACTGACTAATTAAATTCCATCAAATGCCCAAATAAACAAACAACAATAATAAATAAAGTAAAAAAGAGTAGAGATCAGTTTTGTTATACAGGAATGGCACCAACTAAAGTACAATCTAAACTGCATGCAAATTTATACATTCATTTTTAAAATTATTTTTACTTGTTTATTTTTATTTTTTTATTGTTGTTCAAGTATAGTTGTCTCCATTTTCACCCCACCACATTTTAGAATACTTGAATTACATTCCAAATATTTCAAACAAATGTGATGATTGCATATATGAATAACAATTATTTGATCACTTACTAAACATTTACTAAGTGGTTCCATGTGCCAGGACACAGATGAATAAAATATAGTCCCAGATTGCAAGAATCTCACAATATATAGTATAGGAGACAGATAAGTTAAAAAAATAATACCAAATATCCATCTATAATAGAATGGGTAAATTGGGGCATAGTCATACAATAAAACACATATTTTAAAGTAGCAAGAATGGACAAACTAAAACTAAATACAATTACATCAATGAATCTCATAAACACAGACCAAAGAAGCCAAGCAGAAATACATAAATCCCTCATTAAACTAAGTGGTACAGAAAATAAAGAGGAACTTCTTTAACTAAGGGATATCGAAAAACCTGCGATGATCAACACAGTTATCAAGTTATCCATTATCAAAGTGGAAAGGAGTAACACATTCCATTTATATTTAATAGAATCCTAGATGGAAACAAAAATGAAAAACAGAATAGATGCATCTCACAAACATAAAGAAAGAAAAAAGCCAAACCCACTCCCCATCCCCCAAAAGCATTATTTTGTGATTTCATATGTATAACATTAAAAGATAAGCAAAATTAATGTATGATAATAGGTACATTTCAGGAGAAGACAAGGGCATAATTGGATCTTCTGGAATAATGATATTGTTCTATTTATGACTTGGCTGGTTGTTTTACAGTTGTGTTCATTTTACATTATCATTAATGTACATACTTATTTATGTAGTTTTATGAATATGTAATATTATTTAGTTAAAAAAGTTTAAACTGAGTACATGTTTAACTTTGTAAGATTATAAATATTAAATGCAATAATTCATGCCAAGTGCTTACTACAGTGTTTAGCATGAATTAATCCTCAAGTAAAAGAACAACAAAAGATAGTTTTTTATTCATTCTAAATGATAATAAAAATCCAAAATAATCTACACAGAAGATAAAATTTTAATATACCTAAAATGTCCACCCAAATCATACTTTAAAAATGTAAATCATCTTGCCACTTAGTACTTGAGATAAGAATTATGGTACACGATAGAAAATTCTTATAAAAACTCCATGAAAAGCTAAAACTGTAGTAATCAAGCACTGAGTGTTTCATCTTTATTACCTCTCTTGAAGCTGGTCTATATCCATAGCCGGATGGTAGATTTTTATCTTCTTCACATCCTTTGGCTCCTGGACTGAAGTGTAATTCAACATGAAAGCGTTCCTCCGAGGAAAGATCCTAAACAATATCACAGAACATTCTGAAAATGAGAAACTTCAAGCTATTTATTTACCTCAGGTAACACATGAAAATCAAGAACCCTGTTACCTTGTTAGGATCCTCATAAAGCATGATAACAATCTGAGTCATGTAGTTGAGTTCATTGACAACATTTAAATAATCCATAGCTCGTTTCCACTGTTCATCTTTTGATTCCTGAACAAAAAATAGGTGGAAAACATTTTCTCATATTGCATTACTTGAAAGTCACTTAATTTTCACTATGGTAGTTTGCTCAATCCTGAGTAAAGAAAGTGTATACTAACACTTTCACAGATCTTTCATGCACAGATCTTTCAAAATAATTACTATATTTAAGTATGAATAAATTACCTAAGCTTAAGTAAATTATTTAAAAAATTCTCATCAGAAGTATTAGAAACTATTGTGGTAACTTAAAAAGGACTCCCAGTCATTACGGCTGTGTGCATAAATGCGGTACTGGTATCCTCCCACAACCACATCAAAATTACAAGTAAACTACAGAAGAGCCCTCACTGAGAATCACCTGAAATCCAGCTGGACAGAAATCCTATCACAAAGGATATACAGAAGAAACCACATCGAGACTGGTAGGAGGTGTGGAAACACAGAAAGGGCTGGCTCCACACCCACATGTGGTGGTTAAAAACCAGCAGGGATATCTCAGCCGCAGAGATTCGCCCCTGAGGAGCTTGAGGTCCCAGCCCCACACCAAGCTCCACAGCCAAGGGTTTCAGTGCCTGGAAGGTAAGTCCCCAAAACTTCTGCCTGTGAAAATCAGAAGGGGCTATATAGCTGAGTGTAACTGAGGGCTTCTGGAGTACCAGGCATTCCTCTTCAAGAGCCTGTTCCTGGACTTACTCAGAATCAGTCCCCCTGAGCTCCAGCACTGGGGCAGCAGCTTGAAAGTCACTATGGACATACGGGGGGAAAATTAATTGTCTGGTTTTGGGGTGAGGGCTGAAGGGGCAGTTTTCTGTTGGACAGAAGAATTGGCAGAGGCCATCGTTCTTTTCCTGAGTCCTCCCACCACAGCTGGTAGGTAGGTGCCATATCTGAGACTCCATCAACACTGTTCAGCTCTGCTGATTCCCTGAGACCCCATCCCACCCAACTTTCAGGCCCACCCAAGCTGCTTCCAGTAGCTTTTCTACAAAAATGGCCTGTCTTGGCTCATGCTGCTGACTTTCCTAAATGCTCTCAAAGGTTCACAAACCCCAAAGAAGCAGCATCTGGCACAAGCATGTCATGTACCTCTTGCTAAGTGGCCCCAGGGTTGGCACCAGTAGCAGCAAGATTCAGTGGCAGCATGGCCTTTCCCAGGTACCTCCAAACCCAGCACAGAAGCAGCCATCTTAGTTTGCACCTCTGGGGAAGCCCCAAAGCCAGCTGACCAGGTGGCCAGCTTCAGACCATACCAAAACACCACCCAACCACCACCATGAATAACAGTCAAGTCAAGGAGCAGACTCAGCAGGCACCAGAGCCCTGCTCAAGTGAGTTCTGCCCCAAGTAAGAGATCCCTGCATAGCTGCTCCTCCTCTGTAGATGTGGCCAGTCCTCACAACCAATCAGCCTGGGGTTAAATCCCTCTCACTGATATGCCAGCAGCAATCAAGGTTCAACTACAACAGAAGGTAGCCACACTGGGGGCACATCTGGTATGTCTGGCTTGGGTGGCCAGGGAGCCTGCATACTGGGCTTTATAGAACATCGACAACATAAGGCCACTCTACCAAGACTGGAAGACACAGTAGCTCTACTGAATACATAGAACAAACACAGAGAGGCAGCCCAAATGGGGATATAAAGAAACATGTCCAAAATGAAGGGACAGGAGAAACCTCCAGAAAAAGAACTAAATAAAATGGAGGCAAGCAGATTACCAGAAACAGAGTTCAAAACAATGGTTATACGGATGTTCAAGGAACTTAGTTCAAGGAACTCAAGAGAACTTCAAGAGCATAAAGAAGGACATACAAACCATAAAAAACAACCAGTTAGAAATGAAGAGCACAATAATTGAAATGAAGACTACACTGGAAGGAATCAACAGCAGATTAGATGAAGAGGATCAAATCACTGATTTGGAAGACAAGGTAGCAAAAGACACCCAATCAGAGCACCAAAAGAAGAAAGAATTTTAAAATGTGAAGAAAAAAATTTTTTTTAAAGCTTAAGAGACCTTCGGGACAACATCAAGTATAACCACATTCACATTATATGGGCACCAGAAGGAGAAGAGAGCAAGGGATTGAAAAGCTATTTGAAGAAATAATGATTGAAAACTTCTCTAAAGGAAAAGAACATACAAAACAGGAAGCACAGAGAATCCCAAACAAGATGAACACAGAGGCCCATACCAAGACAAATCATAATTAAAATGCCAAAGGCTAAAGGTAGAGAATTTAAAAACAGCAAGTGAAAAGCAGTTAGTTATCTACAAGGGAGTTCCCATAAGACTGTCAGCTGATTTCTCAAAGGAAACTTTGTAGGCCAGATAGGATTCATAGGAACATTCAAAGTGATGAAAACATGGGCCTAAACCAATATTATTCTACCTAGCAACCTATCATTTAGAAGTGAAGGGCAGATAAAGAGCTTCTCAGGCAAGAAAAAGCTAAAGTAGTTCCATCACCACCAAACTGTATTAAAAGAAATGTTAAAAGGTCTTCTTTAAAAAGAAAAATGGAAAAAGTATGAATAATAAGATGGCAATAAAGATATATCTGTCAGCAGTTACTTTAAGTGCAAATAGATTATAGTTCTGATAAAAGACACAGGGTGGCTGAATGGATAAGAAAACAAGATCTTACATATTCTGTCTGTAAGAGACCTATTTCAGATCAAAAGACATGCAGAAACTTAAAGTAAGGGATGAAAAAAGATATTCATGAAAATGGAAATTAAAAAAAAAGGTGGGGTAGCAATACTTACACCAGATAAAACAGACTTTTTTTTAAGCGTCAACACAGTAGCCCACTACCCACAAATTATACAGTCATGTTTCCCAGATTTGGGGAAATTGCTGGGGTCACCACATCTGGAGAGCAATGGATAAACTTCACCCTGGAAAAACCACCTTCATGATATCTCCCCCACCAGGTATGTATCAAAACAGACTTAATAAAAAGGCTATAACAAGAGACAAAGAAGAACCCAGCAATTCCAGTTCTGGGTATTTACCCAAAGAAACCCAAAACACTAAATCAAAAAGACATATGCATCCATACGTTTATTACAGTATTATTTGCAATAGCCAAGATGTAGAAACAACCTAAGTGTCCATCAACAGATGAATGAATAAAGAAGTGATGCAAATATACAATAAAATACAATTCCCACATGAAGTGAAATCTTGCCATCTGCAACAACATGGAAGGACCTAAAGGGTATCATGCAGTGTGAAACAAGTCCAACATAGAAAGACAAATGCCATATGATTTCATTTATATGGTCAATCTAAAAAAAACCCAGACAAAATAAATGAACAAACTGAATGGAAACAGACTCATAGATAAAGCAAACATTTTGATGGTTGCCACTTGGGAGAGGGTTTGGCAGGGTTGGGTGAAAAAGGTGAAGAGATTAAGAAGTACAAATTGGTAGTTTCGGAACACCCATGGGGACATCAGCACAAGGAGGCATGTGTAGATTCTATTATTATTCCCATATCTACCACTTCTCAATCTTCATTTAGATAATCACTTATCTTTAAACATGTAATCATAGAGCAGCAGAATTAAAAGGGATCTTAAAGAACATGTACTACAAGCATTCCAAGTAGAAAGTTCTACCTGAAAAGATAAAACTACTCAAAGTCCAGAGTCTGTAGTCAATAGTCCACAGGGTCTACTTGGACCTCATGTACATCACACACAACTTGGCTTCATCTGTCATAAATATCACAAACAAATAAAAGTATCCAACACTTTTTATATACAATTAGTATATATTTTACTTTAGTACGGAATGTGCCTTTTTTAAGAAACAAAATTAGATACCCCAAAACCCAAATGTACAAGACCGCATGCTGATTACTTATTTTTTAAAATTTTAGCATATATTTCCTTTTTAAACTCAGACATTATACATTCCTAAGGAAGCATTCCCCTTTTGAAGTCTTTAGAAGAGCAAAGTTAAACCAACATCATGCAATTTGTGTAATCCTTACATGTATCCTTAGCTTCATTTCATCAAATGGCTATTTGATGAAGAGCAAAGTTAAACCAACATCATGCAATTTGTGTAATCCTTACATGTATCCTTAGCTTCATTTCATCAAATGGCTATTCACATCTCTAAATGCTTTCATGTCAACCTAACTGCTGCAACCTTAGTTCAAACTATACCACCTGTCATTAGATCATTGTGCTAACTTCCTAGCTGATTTCCTTATATCCACTCCCACTTATGTATTGTTCACACAGTAACCAAACACACTTACTTCCCTGCTTAAAGCCTTTCATTGGCTTCCATCCCCTTAGGATGCCCGAGGCACTGGCTTTCCAAACTTACCTGCTGCCATTTATCCATCACCCATCATTATGTTCAGACTAGAGGACTTCTATTGGCTCCTATACCCTGCACATTCTTTCCACCTTCTAAATATGTGCAAAAGGGTCAACAGGGCACACCATGTATGAGATATATCCCTCCTTTCAAAAACAATTCCATCATTACTACTGAATATATAATCTCTTGCCTTGCTAATTACAGGTCATTTTTCTTCACTATTTGTTTTATTAAAGCTCTATTGATCTACATATGTTGCAAGGGATGTCACTTTGCATTCCTTGTTGTGACAAAATTGTGACAAACACATTTCTTGTTTGAAGAAACCAAAACAAGAAGAAAGAACATATGAATGGGAAATCTACGGGAAGAGAATTCTGAAATAGTCTTTGGATAACTTTGATAATCACTATTCATCAAGGCCCAATAATAAGATAAACTAAAAATCTAGAGACATATACTAAATCTTCTTTACATATTTTACAGCTTTTTATTTAAAAAGTACAAAAGAAAACAAAACTGATTTTTTTAAAGATTACTTTTTGAAAATAGATGTGTATACCAATATATACATTAAAAATTAATGAAAAATTCTTACATTTTGCTAGTTTAGATATGGTTGAAAAGATATTTTTGATATATAGTAGAAGTGACATTGTATTCTAATCTATGGTTTGACTATGCTGAGAAAGGGGATATTAAAACTTACGTCTGTTTAATACAGATCAGTTCCATTGCCAATCCCTAAAATGTCCTTTTCTTTATTTGCTCAAACACTCCCTTGGTGTCTTATCAACAGTCATTACATCAGCTATCATTAATATATTTGCATCCCAACTCTATATATTTAACCTCAAACTCTGCCCTCACATATGAACATACATAGTACAGGTTATCTTCAGTTGACTAGCCTACTAGTCCCTCAAACTTAACCTAAAACTAAACCCATTACCCTCCTTCTAATATCTGATCTTCCTCCCACATGTTTCTTACCTCAGTGAATGATAAGATCATCTACCAAGTTACCCACATTAGATACATGGGAACCTTTCCTGACTCTTTCTTTCTCATCTTCAGTACCTGTAATCGCTACTAGGGCCTTGAGGAGAATGTGTGTGAAAGTTAAGATATCTCCTTCTGCCTGTCATAATCCATGAGAGGAGAGAGAGAAACTACAGGGAAATTGATAACTATAAAGGAGCCAAGATTCCTGGGTTAAAAAAATACAACTGGTTCTCATTCCCTGCCTTTCTAGAGAGCAATGCTATACAATGCTAAACAATGCTATAATTAAAAGTAGCAGCAGTTTCTAGGAAAAAAGGAAACACAAGAATCTGTCTTGGAAATATGGATACGATGGTAATAGCATTTTCTAAGACCTCAGAAAAATTTAAAGAGATGCTTCACGGATGCTTCAAAGACACAAAAGACTTTTCCAGGATCTAATGAGCATGTCTTTCAGATGCTCACTATTAAGCAAAAAGGGCTGCTGAGTGCTGTCCCTCAGTAACCACACTGAGAGCCCAACACAGAAGAGAGGTTATCCTTAAGGAATCTGTGAAACTTGTTCAATGAATTACTTACTGTTTTGTCTTATTTATGCATCATTTATGCACTTTTACACTATCTTGAACTAGAAATAAATAAAACTTTGGATCCCAGACTTTCTTGGGCAGGAAGCAGGTTGAAGAAAATTATTGAGCTGCAAATATGAAGTACTTTTTATGAAAAAGGGATGACCCAGATGGAGCAATCAAAAACCCAAAGCATGAAGCCACAAGCCATTGCACACAACTCCCTGGTGGTAAGTCAGAGCCCTGATTAAGAAATGGGAATATGTACCAATGTATACTTTGTATTTGCTATGGACTACTGACTATAGTGCACCTTCTGTTTTTCCCTCTTTTGGAAAGTAATCCTATGCCTGCCACACCATTATATGTTGGGTGTTTGAAGGACAGATAATTGGTCTCTTTAGTTCCCAGGTCTTTGAATTAAGACTGAATGCTCTTGAGCACTCAAGAATCTGTGTCCAAGAAGCCCCATCCACATTTCAACCTGATTTAGATGATGAGGCACTAGATGTCAAGTTTATGCTGTAACAGAAAGACTGAGGGAATATTGGAGAGGTTAAGTGAACTCTGCATGTGGGAGTAATATGGATTGTGTGGCCAATGGACAGAATAGATTCTGTTTTCCAAAGATGGCCACCACAATATAACCAATCCCAAGTACACGTGCGACAGTGACACTCCATTCACCCTGCAGTGAGTCCATTTCCCCTCCCTTTTAACCTGGATAAACTTCTGGACTGCCTCAACCAATAAAGCTCACCAGAAGTGATACTATGTTTTCATAAGTTGGGTCAGAAAAATGCCGTACACTTTCATCTTGCTCCCTTAGGAAGCTTACTTTTGGAACTCAGCTGCTGTTTTGAGGAAGCAGGTCACATGAAGAGGAAGGTACAGGTATTCTGTCCAATAACCCCAGCCAAGGTCCCAGCTGACCGCCAGCAGCAGGCACCAGACATGAGAGGGAAACTTTGAGATGATTTGAGCCCCAGCCACTGTCTGACTGCAACTTTAAGAGAGACCCAAAATAAAACTGCCTAAGTGGTCACAGTCAACCCTTTAAACTGTGAGAGATAAAAATGACTGTGGTTGTTTTAAGCCAATGAGCTTTGGTGCAAATTACAGTAGATAAAAGGCACAATATCCAACTAAACACCAAGTTCTATGAATTCTAATCCCTAAATAACTCAAATTCATCAGATTCTTTTTATCTCCCTGCCACCAGTCTATAACATCACTTAAAATATTTTATATCATTATTGTTAAATGGGTACTCTCCAATATAAAAGAAGTATCTCTATCCCCAACCTCTAGCATAGTGCTTAGTATATAGTAGGCCATTGGCAAATAACAGTAAATAATAAATTATTAAAATTACACAGTGAAAGCAGTGTTAGTGATTTGATTGCAAATTTAAGGAAATATATTTGTTAAGTAGACTGGACTAACTCATTCCACTTACGTTGCATAAGGCACCATAACGAAGAATAGATAGTAGAGAATGTACATGACTTTCACTAGTGAAATATAATCTGGTACGGACGTGACGTTCAGGAGACAGAACACCCCTGGAATACCTAAAGTTAAAAGCAGACAGTGTTAAAACATAATTACACAGTCAAAACTTATTAACTATTAAAATTATTATGTAAAATGGAATTAATCTTACTATAAGTAAAAAACCATAATAAGTAAATCTATCAGTCTTCCCACTAGAATTGAGGAATTATCTTAGTAGATATTCCTTTATGATGAAAATAACTGGAACTAATTGGGACCTCTAAAGTTAGCCAGAGAGTTAATATTAGTCAAGTTCACTGTCAATAGGTCATTGTAGCTCCTTTACTAAAGGTGACAGAGGTCAGAGTACTAAAGAAGCTCACAGATATTTATGCTGCTGAATGGGATACATGCTGAATAATGTGAATAATGAAATCTATTCCCTTTCTCTTTCACTTCAGTTCTCCCTGATTTGGAGAGAAAAAGAACCCTGGTTGGAAGTTAACTACTGGGAACACCTAGGCAATCCTTATTTCTGGTGTGCCAAGTGACATACTCCTGATTTCATAGGAACATTAAAACGTAATTTAGATTTGAAGTATGCAAAACTAGATGCCTATAAATTTAAATACCAGTATAGTCTCTTACACAGGATGGAGTTTATTTACAGTGTCGTCATCTTGTGTCCTCTGAAGGTCTGAGCGAATTTTTCTGACTAGAGGGGTACAGTAGCCTTTGGCAATCTCCAGTTTTTCAGCTTTGGTTATTCCATATTCCTGAGCAGAAAATACATGATATTAGACAAAGGGTATAATGCCAAAGAGCTTTAACAAACACACTGCTAAATTAAAGACCTCTAAAAGCCTTTTTTGAACACCATACGACTCCAAGTTTACCTGTCAGCTACTGTTTCAGTATACTATACCCGAAGCCATTAAGTATAATTGAAATAATTTTTGGTGGAAATAAGAAAAACAAGTAATTTCTGAAGAGGGGAGAATGAATAGATGAATGTAATCTTTATGGAGTGTAGTGCAACTCAATTGGCAAGTTTTAAATGCAGATAAAACCCTAAAAGAAAGGTGGATTAAGGACATAAACACTAAAGCACAGAATAGTCAATAAACAGATAAAAAAATATAAATAAAAAAGGTGAGATTTCTGTCTACTCAAATGTCAAAAATTAAGATGACTAACAAATTATTTAAAATACTTGGCCAATGATTTTAAAGTTTTAATTAGTGGTAAGCAAAAAATGCCATAGAATTATCAAATTTCATGATGTCTATAGTTACTATAGGCTAATTAAATTTATAATGAGAAATTATAATATGAAGTATCAAGAAAACATATTAACTGTAATCATAATTGTAATAAAAATTACAATTCAAAGGGGTAGACAGAAAATGATCAGATACGAGAAAGGAAAAATCTGTGATGCCTGTATAGACAGAATGAGGGAAAAAAGGAAGAAGTCAGAAAGTGTGGTGGGGAAGACAGAGAGGGAAAGAAGAGAAAGCAGAGAGAAGGAAAATGAAATAGGCATACTCTCTGTCCATGGACAATCTGGGATACTTTAATTTAAAGGCTACTTCCTGCTATCAGATGCTTCCCAGAAGGCCAAACATAAATATAAGTAACAGACCTCAAGATTGCTTACTAAAGAAAATGCTGACTGATTACAGATGAAGACCTATGAAAACGGAACTTCTTGGGGTCATTTCCCTTAAAATAAAGCTTTGTTGGCTCAATAATTTTGTCAACATAGGTGACTGTGAATTAGGTATGCAAAAGGGATATAAATGTAATTGTGTATGTATAAGTAAACAAAGGAAAATGCTGAAATTAAAAATCATCAGAGAAAATTTTTGTTGTTGCTGGGAAGGCATGAGGAAATAGATACTCTCAAACACTGCTTATCTGGAAAAAAACTGGTAAAAGATTTCTGAAGCTACAGAAATATCTTGAGTATGTATACGGGTTTAACTGTAAAAAGAGTAAAAGAAATTTTAAAAATCCAGATTTCCAAATACAAAAAGTGGTTAAATAAGTTATTATTACATCACAGCATTCAGTCATTAGGAATTATGATGTATATATAGCTTTACTGATATAAAAAGTTCTTGATCTAAGTAAAGAAAAAAAATCAGGTTGTAAAACACTATGCTTTTCCTGGTTCCATTTTTACAAAGAATACATTTGCTTAAATACACACACACACGTGTGTGTGTATTTATATATAAATTTATATATATATTTAAGTATATATATAAAAATTTGAGAAAGTACATATATATAAGTTTAAGAGAAAGTACACATATATATACACACATAAACTTAAGAGAAAATTTATATCTGCATGGATTTAAGGGCAAAGGCCTTTAAAAATTTTCTGAAACATTAAAATGTTTTTCTCTAGTTGGTAATGTCATAGTAACTGTTTTTTGCTTTATCTACATTTTCTAACTTTTTTCTTTACATTTTCTAATTTTTCTTATATTACTTTTACAACAAAAAATAATTTATCCTTTCAACGTGACATTATGTTCATCTGTCACCACCAACTAGGACCAAAAATTGTTATATATTCAAGTTCTCATATGTTATTAACCAGTTTCTGCCATAAATAGAAGTGATACGAAAAAAAGATGAAACTATCTGAAAGCTTATTATATGGTGATATTTAATCAAAGTATCATTGGACTTTATATGGCAAATACTATCATAAAGCCTCTGTATTTCATAATCTACAAATAACTAAAATTGTCATTGAACTTCGATAAGTATGTGCTATCTCAGATAAGAGAATCTTAACACCAAATTTAGTCTTTAGATGTTCTTATCTATTGTCATACCATCACAATTATTTTAAAGTATCATTTTTGAACCATGGCTTGTATTCTCTGAGCATTGAGACTGGTTAAAAAGTAAAAAGTTAGTATTATTATAGCAAAAATACCTATCACAATTAAATAGGGTTTAATTGTTAAAATAACTAAAAATAATAAACCTTGTTTGTCAAAATTAAGTGTAGATACTATTAGAACTACCTAATTTGCATTGCATAGATAAATGAATTAATTCAATGAAAGAATGGAAATACAGTTTTTAATCCTCACCCAAGGACATGTTTAATGGTTTTAGAGAGAGAGAAAAAGGGAAGGGGAGAGAGAAAGAGAAAGAAAAAGGGAAAGGGAGAGAGAAAGGGAAGGGGAGAGAGAAAGAGAGAGAAAAAGAGCGAGACAGATGTACAGACAGACATCGATGTGAAAAATACTGATTGGTCACCTTGAAAATGCACCCCAACCAGAAATCAACCCTGAAATCTACATATGTACTCTGATCAGGGATTGAAATCATAATCTTCTGGCACATGTACAACATTCCCACCAACTGACCACCCAGACAAGGATGGAAACAAATTTTTATAGATGCAGAGCAACACTTTGTACACCAGAACACATTTATATACAATTCTCTTGCACAGTGATACTCTCTTAATCTAAATTAATATATTCTAACCAAGACGAAATTTCACATTACTGACCCAGCCATCAAGTCTCTAGGCTTGAAGTATTCTTTATTTGCATGAAAACTATCCCCTTATCCACTGGAGATACACTCCAAGACCCCCAGTGGATGCCTGAAAATAGTACCAAAGTCTTTGTATACTTTTTCCCCCCTATACACACATACCTATATGATAAAACCTAATTTATAAATTAGGCACAGTGAGAAATTAACAATAATGAAATAGAACAATTATAAAATATACTATAATAAATGTTGTGTGAATGTGGTCTCTGTCAAAATATCTTATTGTATTGTGCTTGCCTTTTCACTTAAAGGAAGCACTATACACTTTTCTTTGGTATAGTGAATTGCCAGCATCACTACTCTTGCACTTTGGGACCATTATTAAGTAAAATAAGGGTTGCATGAACACAAACACTGCGATAAAGTGACAGTGGATAACTGAGGCATCTACTAAGTGACTACTGGGTAGGCAGCATATACAGTGTGGATATGCTGGACACAGGGATAATTCACATCCTGGGCAGAAGGGGGTGGGACAGCATGAGACTTTAGCATGCTACTCATAACAGTACACAATTTAAAATTTATGAAATGTTCACTTCTGAAATTGTCCATTTAATATTTCTGGACTATAGTTGACCATGCATGACTAAAACCACAGAAAGTGAACCACTGCAGATAAGGGGGGGCTACTGTATGTAAAATTTTCATTTTTTTCTACTTCAAACTATAGTTTCATTACAATTACTATAAATGTGTTTATAATTATTTGTTCAGGGATTGAAAATGCCTGCATTTTGTCCATTGCTTTGGATTTATGAAGTCTGAAAACAAAGCAAAGTAATATTACTGAACTGAATTCAAGGTTCCACTTAAAAAGTAGAAATCTCGAGTTTCTGCCACAATTAGGAGTCAAACCAAAAAGTTAGGAAGGTAAATCCCAAGTTGTCCTCTTTTCAATTCATAATCTCTGAACTTTAAGAAAGAATATAAAGAGACCTCTGCTTTAAAGTTATTAACTTATCAAAATTTAATTATGAATTTACTCAAAATAAGATTTTTATTCCTGGAAGCTTAGGCATAATGTTGTCTGAGGATTCCCAAGATTTCGAAGTTAAATAATTTATCAAAGAAAAATAATTTTGGAGATGTCTTCAAATAAGTTATCAGACTATTGTAAAATTTAATGTAATAGCATTAAAGAATAATTACTCTAATACAGATGCAGAACAGGTGAGCTTTACAAATTAACTTTAGAAGATAAACATTATATTTCAACTCCTTCCTAACCATTCTAATCTTTAATGTTTTTTGAATTACAGTTCTTTAAAATGTTCATTATAAATATTAAAGTTACAAGGAGATGGTGAGAAATTTCTTCAGCTATCTAAGCAATATACTGGAAATACTTATACACAAAATTAGAAGAAATTATCTAAAACCCCACAAGTTTGTAATGCTCACTTGACAGACATTTACAAAGTGTCTATTTGACACTGTAAGAAAACTGATTGCTAGGAACTACCTACCTGAGGGATAACAATATCTGCTAATGCCTTCGAAAGCCTATATAATTCCATTGTGTTTTCTAATTTCAAGGAACCGTTATGCTGGACATCATACTTTATACAGTCATATATGTCAGGGATTTTACTAATGTCATATCTTCCATTCTTTGTTTTAAAGTCTTTCTCCAACTTGGACCATCTACGTAGCATAAGCTCTAATGTTTCACTATGGTAAAGTTGAATATCTAAAACAACATAAAATATTTTAGTATATTAAAATAAAAAAATCATTATGAATATATGCTAGAAGTTGATAATCAGAAACTTTTCTGAATGTGAAAGATAAAATTGTTAAGAAGTTAGAAAATGTTACCACAGGCATATAATAAAAGTTGATAATCAGAAACATTTTTTAATGTCAAAGATAAAACTGTTACCAAGTTAGGAAATGTTACCATAAGCATATACAATTAACAACCACAGATTTTGTAGACTTGAATAAAGGTATAAATATATAGGTTAAAAACTGGGTTTACAAAAGACTTTTCTGTATGTCATACACTTCAATAACAATAATTATAACACAACTCTTTTAAACTAATACATTTTCAATTCTGAATTTTCAATTATTTTGATTATTATTTACTCTTTTTATTAGATTCACATAACAGAATAGACAGTCATTACCAGAAAGAAACCTTAAAAATTAAACGGTTCAAAGGATCCACTTTTGCGAACAAGCAATCCAAGATTCTAAAGTTGCCCAAGTTATTAATAACCAAGCCAGTGTCAGAGCCAGAGCCCACATTGCCTTCCTGTTACTTATGCATTCTTATTATGCTGTCTATGTGCAGTTCGGCTAGCTCTATGGCAACGCTCCAGAATTAACCAAATAAAAACGTTTTATCTATTTCATGCTGTAATGGAAAAAAAAGCAACTGTAACTTAACTATTTATTCTTTTGTTGGATATATATAATTCATACCTATATAAAGTAATGAGGCTTTATTTCTTAAATTAGTGCATCTTATTTTAAAATGTTTGCAGTGACTGAGTAGTAATTTTAATTTGTTTTATGCTCTAAGAAAAACATAATATTTACCTGATGATTTGGGATCTTCCATGCGATGTCTGATTTGAGAAGTCAAACTTTGTATCAAGGAATAAACTTTGTCACAGGTCTTCACAGGATTTTTAATTAAATGCATTGATTTAATAAGAGAAATGCTTCCAGATGGAGTAAGCTACAAATGGGCAAAATATATATTTTACATCTATTTATTCACAATTGCCCAAGAGAACAATAAACAGAATTTCCCAATAGCTGAAGATTAATTCCATGCCACAAATTAAGATGGCCCACAGCAAACAGTAATAAGATCAAGCAAGAAATAAAAACCTCAAAATTTCATGTTAAAAAAATTAAATCTTAGCTATCATGAGATTATTTACAGAGAAAATAGAGCATAAGTACTATAACATACAATGGCATTTTATTCTAACATCGACAAATTGCTGATGTAATATGAACAAATATGGCTCTAACCATTTGACATATATTTACACGTAATAATCCTAAGACTCTATTATCATCATCTTTTTCCAGTTGAGGTACCTAGCGTTTAAGCCCAAGATCAAACCAGTAGCATGTGAAGAGTGGGGTAAAAAGTGGATATAAAGTTGGTGCTCTTAAATACCAGGCTAATCCTCTTATGATAAGATTTTTACAAGTCAACAAAAGTCATTAATGACAACATAGTTTTAAATTCTAGTTTTGAGCTTGGCTTGGTAAGTTATTTAACTCCATCAAATAAGTTTCTACAGATAATAAAAAAATTAAAATAGAATTTCACTTCTCATTATGGTAAACTAGGTAGTTTGGCTAAATCTAACCACTGAAAATAAGTAAAAATCCTGCGTAAAAAACTTCTATATTTCTGCTTTAAGGTATCTGAGAAATAGTATAATAAAGAATTATAGAACCAGAACCCTGGTCCTTTAATTGTTCTAATGGTTCTGGTCTTTAAGGTCTTTATAATTCTTGTCTTTAAGGCTATTTCTGCACTGGAGACATTTGTTGATCTAGAACAGACAGCAGAGAAGTCGAGTAGAGCTTTCACAGTATTATTAGGTTAAAGGAACAAAAGTGAAGTTCAGGGTTCCCCAAAGTAGAATGCTGGTAAACTCTCTACATTTAAGGTTCAAAAAAGTGAGGGTGAATGAAAAGCAAACTATAGCCCACCAACAAACTGCAATCAGGTTCAAGTCAACTGTTTACCCAGAAAGATCTATTCTGAAACTAGATTAAGGCAATCCTAAATTGCTATGTGCATGGGCACACAGAAGGAACAAATAAAAAAACCTTATTGGAAGATAATAATATTTTATTTATTAACACAGATAAAATGTCCAGTCATAATTGCAGACATTCAGGCACACAAGAAAACTGGACAGCAAGAATATCAATCAGTACAACAGATAAGAGAAAATGAACCGAAGAGACTCTAAGTAATATAGCTATCAAAAACTAAAAAAGTAACTTCCTATGTTCAAGAGGATAAAAGAAAATATTGAAAATCATCAAAGAATTGATTATTGAAAAATGACAATATTATATATAAAAAGAAGCAAATAGAAATACTGAAATTGGAAAATACACTGGCTGAATTTACAGCACATCAGATACAGCCAGAGATAGATTTACAGTAAATTAGAGAGTAGTTATAAGATTTCATCAAGAATAAATGCATAGAGACAAAAGAATAAAAATAAATTTTTTTAAAAAAGGATACGAGAAAGTTCTAGCAACCATACATGTGGAGACCCAGAAGAAAGTAACAGAAGCAATATTTAAAAAAAATAAAAATAACTATAAAGGACACATGGACAAAACCAAGGGGGAGGGTAGAAGCAAGGGAGGGAAGTGGGTTTGGCTGGGGTGAGGGGGAGTGATGGGGGAAAAACGCAGACAGCTGTAATTGAACAATTGAATAATTTTTTAAAAAAATTTTAAAATAAATAAAAATAAATAAAAAAAACCCTTTGTAAAACTAAAACCAAAGATCCAAAAATCCTATTAAACTATTAGCAGGATAAATTAAAAAGCAATTTACATCTAAACATAAAAGAGAAAAACTGCTAAAAACCAAAGATAAAATAAAATGATAAGTAGCCAGAAGGAGTTATTTACAAAGACAAAGAAATGATCGATGGTGCACAAGATCAAGAGCTAACTTCCCAAAGTAACACTGGAAGCTAGAAGATAATGAAGCAACATTTTGATGCAATGAAAGAAATTGCCATTCTAGAATTCTATACCCAGTAAAAAAATCCTAAGAGTAAAGAAATGCAAACATCTTCGCACACAAAAACTAAAAAAAGAAAAAGGAATTCACCACCAGTAGACTGGAACTAACAGAATTACTGCATTGTTCTTTAAACAGAAATAAAATTATGCTAAATGGAAACTCTGAAATTCAGAAAAGAGTAAAAGGTAATTATATAAAGGGTAAATTCATAGGTAAATCTAAATAAACACTGCTGTATAAAAGAATAATAACAGTGACATATTGTGGGACTTCGAATACACAGAGTGAAAATAAACAATATTATTGCAACAGATAAGTATTCTCGATGTGATCAGAATATGAAAAAGCAACATAAAAAGTCAGGCTAGCAGTGATTCCTAAGAGAGGGGGTTGCAATTGGGATAGGGGTACACAGGTACTAGAGCTGTTCCAGCGTTCTATTTCTCCACCTGGATGGTGAGAACTATATGAGTATTTGCTTTATAATACAATAAAGGCTAATTTTATGTTTTTGTACCTTCTTTGGTGTGTATATTTCACATGTAAAAGAGTTCGCTAAGACCCACCTTTTCAAAATCTTCTGCAGTGAAATCTCTATCTTTCTGTAGTATTTCATGAAGTCTTGCTTTCACACGCTGCTGACAACTGCTCAGGGAGTCACTGTCGCTATCCAGAAGACCATTCATGTTTGCGCTTTTTACCATCTGAACAAGAATGGGGGTAAGCTCTCCTTCTAGTGCCAAGAGCCCCTAAACATATTAAAGCCAGCACAGATTTAAAAGTTAGTATGTGAAATAATAGAAAGCATCATATTTTGTTACATGCTGAATTTAATAGACTATAAACTACTTACAATAAACAAACTTTATTAATAATACAGTTTAACACTGCCATTTCAGAGCTTTAGTTGGAAATTTCAAATTTGGAAACTTAAAATATTGCCTTAGTAAAAATATTTTAAAATGCAGTATTAGATGAAAATTCCAGTAATTCTAAAAACAGATGTATACCTTTGCAAAAGCAGCTGCAGTCATCTGCACTCGTCCTTCATCAGATGCATATATTTTGAGGTCATGCCGGTAGGTACTATGTAATCTAAGTAAACCACAACCAGGAAATCCTGCATAATCTCCTGAAAATAAATCCTCAAATCACTTAAGCTATATTTTCATTTCACTGTATTTCTATAAATATTTAATAAATGTCAAAATAAGTGAAAGACTTGAAAATACAATGTATAAATTTAACCAAATTAGAGAAACTCCAAGATTTACCTTGACCTCCAGGATACATACACCTGAAAGCTCTTCCCAGTTCTTCAGCTTGGACCCTGCCTGCAGGGGTTAGTTCTCCTCCCCATTTTAGAACCAAAAGTAAGGATGGTTCTTCTCTTCGGCTGTCTAAGACACATGTGAATGGATAAAGCAAATGTCAAATTTGTTTCTTTTAAACAAACATATTTCAAGATTATTTTTTTTTCTTTGTGCTCTCTTCTGCGGTGGAATACAGCCCTTATGTATTTTTTTGTTCCTTAAAAGTACCTCTCTTTGTAGGCTGTTGCTTCTGTCAGAAATACTGAATTGTTCCACCAGTTAAAATCTTCCTAAAATTTCAAAATGTCCTCCATACTGTAGGAATAAAACTCTTTCCCAGTTTTCTGAAAGGAAGTATTTCTTCTTCCTTCCTTCATATCACTTATAGTGGCATGAGAGCAAAGGCTTGCTCAAAGTATTTAACTGTGTAGCATTTGCTAGATTAAGAGCTCTTGATGACAGGATCCAGATCCTGTCTTTATATCAAGAGGTGAAGTGAAGAAGATATATTCCCTTTGTGATTAACACTCAGTGATTAGCATAACTTTTAGAAAGATGTGAGATCATAGAGCCTAATATTTGTTGTAATTTAAATTTATGGGTGAGATACACAAAAAAATATAGCCAAGAGCAGCTTTTAAAATTGACTTGTGAAATGTTTAATAACTGTGCTGTACATCTAAAACTAATATTGTATGTCAACAGTAGCTTACAAATAAATAAATAAGATAAAACTCGGAACTGTAAAATCTCTGTATTTCCCAGACCAAGTATTTTCTTAGACTTAAGAGGAGGTAACATAAGAGAGCGAGTTTCTATACTTAATTTTGACTTGTCCTTTATCATGCCTAATATCTGTATTCTTTTACAGAAACAAAGGTAACTTAAAAATAAGCAATATAAATGCTAAACAACTTCACAATGATGCATTAGGGATATAACATCACTCTTTCCCCTGGGGTCAGTTAACAGTTACATGTGCTTTACCATGAAAACCAGTATTAATTTATGACTTATTTATGTAATTTTTTTAATCATAAATATTAAGATACAAGAAATTAAGCTTATTGTTATTAGTTACCAAGTATGCTAAGAGAACATATCAAACTTTAAAATAAATATATAAATATCAAAATAATCAAACTCTGTTTCCATGTAAGATAATCATTTCTTCAACCTTTGTTAGTATAAATAATACCATTTTGAATATCCCAATAGATTAATCTTACCCTAAATATCTGATTCCTCCTTTGGGATAGATTTGTAGAAGCAGAATTAAGGTCAAAGCATATGAATATTTTCTGAAGTTTCTGATACACGGATATTGACAAATCACTGTTTAAAGAGTGATACCAATTTATCCTCTTATCAGTAGACTAAAATCTTGCCACACTATATTCTCCTCAGCACTCATTATTACCAGTTTGAAAAAAAGGAATAAAATAAAACAACACTTTGCCAGTGTGACCGACAAGAGTGATTATTATTATTATTACTATATGAAGTTATTGGGTATCTGCATTTCTCCGTGAAACAGCTTCTCTAACCTCTGGCCATTTTTCTTTTAAAAGGTAAATGCACTTATGAATTTTTGCTGACTGCTCTTAGAAGACTAATTTTATTTAAATGCTTATTCTGATTTAGTGGGTGAAGGAAAATACCTATTTTACTACATGTTGATTCTGTAGTTTTTCAAATAGCCTTTCATACTTTTTGAGCTTTCATCCTCTTCTAGCAAAAGAGGAGAGGCTCATTAAATAACATTTAGTTATAAATAAGTAAGCTTTCTGAATCAATCCCTGAGTAACAGGGAAGTCCTATCAGTTATCAAAATAATAAAATCTACCCTTTACTTAAAGAATGAAGAATAAAATCTATACTTTGGATAGAAAGCAATTAACTAAACTCCATTAAATAGCACACCAGTCCCTAACTATTAGAACTATTACACAAAAAGCATCCAAATGTAATCAATCAATGAGTAGGAAGTTCCTACATATAATTATAACACAGTAGGTATTAATGACATACCTTCCTCTTCACTAGATGTTTTAGGACAACCATGAGGGAGATAGGTTAATTGCACCTTACGATTTATTCCAGAAAAATGGCCATACCTGTAAAATAAAATGGCAAGCAGAATGAACAATATTCAGGAAGTATTCAATATGACTTCCTGGAAAAAAACTAAAATCTATCAGAGAAAAAAACTAAATCTTACATATTAATGCCTCCTTCTTTTTGTAATTACCTTGTTGAATTCTTTAGAGTATCCTAGGAAAATAGCTGTACCATCGGTAGTCATTCTAACCACCATAAAAATGAAAATACAAAAAAGTTTCTCTACAAAAGTTAGACAACTTTGAAAAGATAACAAAGTAGAGAAATATATAAAAATATGAACTATGTGTCTTAAAAAGAAAGAAAATAAGAATTTAAGTGGTCAAAATTGTGAAGCTTATAACAGGAATACTGGTGGTACCTACTTGACCTGATTAGAACATAGTTCAAAATTATTATTTTTTAAAACAGTATTAAATCTATGGTCAAGTGAGCAATGTGTACTTTGTCTTAAGTAGTACTTCAGGAATATCCAAATTCGATGTCATCTTTTCATCTCATTAAAATTAAAACTAAAACAATAACGATCAATACAACATCTGTTTTCTCACTGGTGAAAATAAAAATCTCATTAGCCTTTCACTAATGTCTCCTGAGCTACAACGATAAAAAGCAAAAAGAGCAACCTGGCTGGCGTAGCTCAGTGGATTGAGTGCGGGCTGTGAACCAAAGCATCGCAGGTTTGATTCCCAGTCAGGGAACATGCCTGGGTTGCAGGCCACAGCCCCCAGCAACTGCACATTGATGTTTCTCTCTCTCTCTTTCTCCCTCCCTTTCCTCTCTAAAAATAAATAAATAAAATCTTAAAAAAAAAAAAAAGCAAAAAGATCAAACTGTGAAGGAAATTAACATGAAAGGTCATACATATTTTTTCTTTTATTATTATTTTTAAAGATTTTATTTATTTATTTTTAGAGAGAGTAAGAATGAGAGAAAGAAAGGGAGCGAAACATCAATGTGTGGTTGCTTCTTGTGCGTCCCCTACTGGAGACCTGGCTGACAAGCCAGGAATGTGTCTGTCTGGTAATCGAACCAGTGACCCTTTGGTTCACAGGCCATTGCTCAATCCACTGAGCCACACCAGCAAGGGCATTTTTAAAAAGCATTACAAGTATTATCAAAATTAAAGGTTTTAAAAAGATACTCACATCTCTAACACTGTCTTAAGTTGTTCAAGTTTTGACTTGTTTTCTTCAATGTCAGAATCATTATTCTGCCCCAGCTCCATAAGAAGCTGCCGTGCAATATCCAACACTTCCTATAAAATAAATTAAGAAAGAATTAAATTTTTGTGTAACTTTGCCATTAGCAATTTAAAACTCAACAAGAAATCAAATGCACTTGCCTGTAATTGTTTTGGCTTTTTGAGTTTTAACTTCCCAGATTTATATCCATCACACTTTTCAAAAAGATCAAAAAATCTTATAAAAAAGACACAGCACTATTAGTCATTTGCAATAGTTAATATTACCACTATATACTTAAATCAATTATAATAAATAATAGATATAGAACTATGATAATAAATGATAGATATGGGACTTGGGGTCTTTGGCTTTCAAATACTGTACTGTGGGTATTCTCATTTTCCTTCACTATATCATGTTGCTTCTTTACTCTTATTGATAAACTTCTGCATTTTCCTAAATCATATCTAACTAATAATCACTAGATTATTTTTTTAAAGTTTTCTCATGATGGAAACATACAATTATAATACAAAATATGTGTTCCTGAAGTCACAACATACATATACATAATTTAAAATGTCTCAACACATATTTAATGGCTCAAATTTTATTATTTCCATGTCAAATACTAAAAAGAAAAAAACAAATTTTCATTCTACTAATATCCTAGAAGGTTGGGAGGTTAATGACTGTCAAAGAGCAATATAAGAAAATAATGAATCAAAATTAAGTAGAACACCTTTACAACAGTAAATGAAAGTCAGATCAGACTGTTGGTCATTCATACACACTGTCAAAATAATTTTCAGATGCCGATATATACAATAATTTTAAATGAATTTGGTTTGCATCCAGTGGTTTAAATATTAATGGCCAAGAAATGGCAGTAAACATTAATATGTTTAGCCATTTAGCCTTAAGTAAAGATTAATATGATGTATTACTCAAAATAGCAAATCGTCTATCAAAAATGTTAAATATCTCCTGAGTGTTAAATTATTCCACTTAAAACATACTTTTGATGCCTCACTTCCATCTTCATTTTTTGCTTTGGTGTTCGATCCCCATGCCGTATGACAGCTATGACACATCTAAGTTCCATCCTGAAATTAAAACAAAAAAAAATCCTCAATTTTCTACCAAAGATTTATGTTGTGTAATTCAGAATAACACATCTAATTATTTATTTAGAGCCATCTCTTACCATTTCAAGATCTTCCCTATGAAGAAAAGTACTTCTAACAGCTGAGTTTAATTTTATCAGATCACACCCTGAAAAGGTTACGAAGCTGAAGATGGAGTAATACTAAACTATGAAATATCTCTAGAGATGATAAACTGCTATCCTAGACCTTCATTAAACACCTGCTCTGTAACAACAGTTATTATAGATTGAAATTTCATTCAATTAAAACAAAATAAAGCTTTACTATGTTTATTTTGCCCATGTAAGAAGAACAAGTGTTTCCAAATCAAATTATTTGAAGATAAAATGGAATGCTAAGGTATAATTTAGTGTTTGCCAAACTTTGACCCACAGAACACAATCATGCAGGAATTTAAAAGTTACCTAAAAATATTTTGTGTTAAATAAGTTTAAAAATATGGGTTTAAAAACAAAATTAAATAACTTTGCCCCCCTCAGAACTTCTTAGAATATTTAATATGCTAATATAAGTCTCTAACCAGTGAATGTGAAGATCACCAGCTCACCTGAATAACAGGTGAGTTTCAGGCAGCATCTTTCACTATAACATTATGAAACACTTTGGCAATATTGGTCCAGTTAAATTTAACTCAAAATATAACTGTAAATATTTTCTTCACATGCTAAGAGTACCATAGTTCTTTGATCACTGACTATAAAGCTTTAAGTAATGCACCTGTTGCCACCTCCTTTATTTTTATGGTTTAATTCAAAAGTTCTATAATTATCTAAGCATTTTTCAGGATTTCATTTGTAACAATATCAAAGATTTTTAGTCTAGGAGAACCCTTGTAAAAGCATATACAACATTGCTCCATCTGCAAAGTGAATCATATGAAAGCATACCCACTAAAGTATCTAATAATCATTCAGAAATTTAATCTTTATTGCACTAGCACAGACTAATGGAGGAAACCCAAGGAGTTTCTAAGTGAAAATATTCAAACTTACATAGTTCCAGATGTAGTTGGTACAATGGGGATATCTTCAGCTTCTAAGGGTATTGACCAGGGGATATGAAATTGTGGAGCGAGCTCTCTCATCACAATATTGCTTTAAGAAAAAGAAAGAAAATTAAAAGTAGTTCCTCTTAAGACAAAATTGGGTACTTAACGACAAATAATAGAGTAGTATAGGAGTTAAAGTCAAACCATCTAGTGATTATGTGAGAAAAGCACATAAAAAGTAACCCAAATAATCAATCCCGATCAAGAAAAATTAGATCAGCAGTTCTGAACTGGTGTATCAGAATACACAAATCGGATGCTATAAATTTGGAAGTACTTATTTATACACTTCAGTTTGAAAGATTAAGTCACAGTGGATTCAAATAGCTAATTATAACTGCATCAATCTACTTTACAAAGATTCTGAAATCCAAGATTATCTCCTCTATGTGGGCACTAATCATTTCTTACCAATTTATTGATCACCTATAAAACTATTCTAAATACCAATGCCCATTTTTAACAAATTTCTAACACATTTTACTAATACGATTGACAATGCAAACTAATAGGGATACAGGTTTAAGTAATTATAAAATATTTTTTGTTTAAATTTAATATTTATTCATGCTAAAATTTAGTAGGCTGCCCCAAATTTCGCTTTAAGTGTAAGTTCACAATTCTTTGACATATGTAATAAAAGCTGACTTCACATTTTAAAAAGTTTCTATGGCTTTGTCATATATACTTTGAAATGGTTTAAAAATAGTTCTTGTTTTGCAAGTCTTCTACATCAAGTTACAAGAAAACAGGTCAAAGAATATAAAACTGGCATTTCCATCAGCAATAATTTCTTTTACATTAACTTAATAATTTCATGAGAAAGATCTTTAAGGAACATGCTTTTAGAAAGTATCATCATTCAAAAGAATCCTGAATTCTGAATTTCTATTTCGCTCTGGTTATTTATTTCATGAATGTTAATTTTGTGTCATATAAAGAAAGAAAACAAAACTATAGCATTTCTAAATCTATAAAGTTGAAATACCTTTAAGCTGTTATCTGTTCTGGTCATAAATCTAACTTTGATAACACAAAGTATAGTTCATGATTTCGCACATTTTTAGAGATGTCATTTTATGAACAATGATTTTTACTGTAGAGTGCTAACAAAATCCTAATCATTTGATGTTTATAATTATTTATTTTCTAAATAAATAGATGCATTAGTTGTAACAAAGATAAAGAAAATATTCTTACCCAAGTATTTTTGCACAATCATCATAGTATTTCATGGAATTTTTCACAAAACTGAAGCCATTGACATCACAGACATAGGACTGTCCATTGGCCCGTAATAAATCAAAGCCACAAACTGTTTGCTATTTAAAATAAATTACAAACTTCAAAGTTCCATTTGAATTAATATTCACAATTTTCTTGTCTTATTAGAACAGACCAAATTTTATAAATGCCTAAAAGCGCATTAATTACTGTTTACTAGTTTACTTCATAAGTAACAAAAAAAAATTACTTATAACTTGAGTACTCTGAAAACACACACATATAACTCATGCTATATAATCATGACCACAAAGCAGATGTGGAACAATAATGTTTAAAGAACAAGGGAGGCCAAAAATATTACATATTTTATCTAGTTCTTCAGTTTAATTTTAAAAAGTCTGATAGATTTTGTACTAGCAGAAATGATATCATTTTAATCCTCCCCCAAAAAAACCCATAGAGGAAAAACAATTTTAAAGATACAGCCTAGAGGAAATATCCAATTATCTCTCTCAATCTTTTAAACCCTGACAAGCACGTATTTGTGCACATCTGAAATAAATTTATTTGGGAGAACAAGACAGTTTGAAAGGAATGAATTTTCTGTTCTAGCTCCGGAAATTTTCTTATCTTCTATTTTATATTCACATCACCACATATTAGTACAATGTGATTTTAAGTCATGGCTTTTGGAATCTTGGAAATACAAGTGAAAAAGATGTATATGAAATTAGTAAAACATATTTACAGGCTAATATTCCTGCCATGAATGAGACCTCAAATTATTAAGGCACAAATAATTTATTTATTATTTACTAACCAATAATATAGACTCATCTTTAAGTTATATTTTCAAGGCAAAACTTCAAAAAGGTAAAGGTTATCATTTTTAGACACAAGTCACACAACTTCTATTTAAATATTTACAGTAGTAAAAGCCTAATGATACAGATTAACTGAGAGAATTAATCAAATGTCAGAAGTAAAGTTTTCTTTAAGAAATAAATTTGTATCGCTTTCATGAACACATTTCATCATCTACAATAGGGCCAACAAACTGGTGGTCAAGGCTACAATACTGAGGACCTTACGTACTCAAAAACAAACAAAAGTTAATCAATTCTATGAGTAAATAATATTTGCAACCAGCCTTAGTTTTAATATGTGAAACAATACCCCTAAACATGAGGTAACTCTACTGTTAGTTAAGTTTTCCTCTGTAATTTTAATTTCTGAATAAATTGACAAAGGTCCCTTTTGTATAATACAGATAGAACACAGGAACACAAAGGCCTTCATTAATATTTGATATTATTGGCATATGAGAATCCCTTGAAGAGTACATAAACTGTTCAGATTATCATTTTTATTTTCTCAGCTTACTTCTACTACTACCAGCACAAATAACAATTATTTCACTCAACAAAGAAAATTAGGATTCCCTTAACAAGGGTCTATATGGGCTATATAACATCTTACCTTAAATGCAAGGCAGACTTTCCAAGCAATTAATTTCTCTCGTGCATTGAGAATAACAGGATATCTCACTTCTTTTCCTTCACTATCTCGTTCCACTTTGCCATCCAGTGCTGGAGATTTTCGAGCTTCAGCATGGGCATAATCTGGACCCACTGTATAAACCTTTCAAAAATGTTAAAGTGCGTATTTTATTAAAACATGTAACAGCAGACAACAAATTAAAAGAAAAAACAAGCAATAAAAATACTTCAGTCTCCAGACTATGCTTTTACACATCTTACTATTTAGATGCCAAACTTTTCAATATTTTGGAAGAGTTTATAAGTAATTAATTATATGGCAGAACTGGTAGGGTGAAGTTTTATTCTCTATGGCAAAAGATTACACTGAGCATTACGAGGGAGTACGAGGATGTATATGATGTGACTCCTCTCTAATTGTTTTAGTTTAACAAAGGAGAGGTACAAATAACTATGAGAACATTATGGAAGAAAGTAACTGCCAAAAGAATATTTAAAAAGGGCGTTGGTGAAGATAGCATAAATTTGAAGGCAGACAAGAGAGGAAAAGGTGCCCTAAGCAAAGGTGGTAAACACAGACAGGGCAAAAACATCCAAACAGCATGAGGTATTTGGGTAAGAGTAAGTTATTTGGGATGGCTTAGACTGTAAGAACTAAGATTCATAGGACAAACAGAGGGAAGAGTGTAAAATAAACATCTTGTATGCCAGTTTTATGAATCTGATTATTATCCTGTGGTCAGTGAGGATCCACAAGAAAATTTTTAAGGAGAGGATCATGATCAGGTTTAAGAGACACTCTGGTTAGACAGACTAGAAAAAGGTAAAGCAATGAAGACCTTATTTGTCACCAACAGAGTTTTGACAACCCATTACAATTGTTGCATATCTCATATCATCATCTATGCTAATCAGTGCCTGGAAACTGTGATGATATCAGGCCCTCACCCACTGTATTTCATTACCTAATGTCCTTTTAAAGAAGCATAAACGTTATTGTATCGCAAGTTGGTTTTAAATACTTTGATAACTTTGTTTCAATAAAATTTATCTCTTTTTTAATCTTGTATGATTTATTTTAATCATTTAAAAATGTTATTTTAAAAAATTATTACTTTAAAAAGGGTCTATAGGCCTCAGACTGCCAAAGGCATTTGCAGTACGAAACAGACGAAGAATCCCTTATCAAAAAGAAATAGAGACAGAACACAGGATAGACATAGCTAAATAAAGAGTAACCCATTTTCTGATATCACTGGTAAACTCTAAATACAAAATGAAAATATGCTTTAATCAACTCTACCTTGACATCAGTACCATCTGTAGGCATGAACTCTTCGTATATATACGAGCCTGTTTTTCGTACACTGCTTTCTGGGGAATAAACACTACTTCTACTGCCAATCTGAAAAACAAAAGATGACCATCAACACAAAAACTAAAGTATTCCCTTCATTTTCTTAATACAATCCTCTGGCATCTATTTCCAGCTTAGACAAAAAAATTTTAATCCATAAATATTTAACAACACTGTGTAGCTAACTCTGTATTTTCTGCTGTAATTTCAACTTATATGTAAGTTAAATTGCATTAAAATACAATGAACAGTAAGAATAATGTTTCTAAGATTCAACCATATTGCAAGTAGCCTCAGTTCATTCATTTTTACCACTACAGAATTTTCCACTGTATAAATATACCGTAATTCATTCACTCTCTTATCAATGTATATATGGGTCATTTTCAAAGCTTTAGCTAATAGAACAATGTTGCTTTGAACATTCTTAAAAGTGTCCCTGTGGTATATGTGTGCTACAGTGTTTTTAAGGTATATACTAGAAACGGAAATGTTGGGTGATAGAATATGCCCTCATTCAATTTACAAAGATAAATTGGCAAAAAAACATTTGTAAACGGTTTTAACAATTTAAATTTAACAATTTAAACTCTCCACCAATGTATGAGAGTTCCCACTGCTGTACATTCTTGTGTATATTTGGTATTATCAGACTTTCTAATATATGCCACTCTAGTGGATATAAAACAATATCTCATCATGTTCTTACTTTGCATTTCTGTAAAGAAATTTTTTAAGAGTGTATATCAATTTTTCATCCTGACATATTACTAAAATATGTTGCTAAGAGGCTACTCTAATTTACATTCCCACCAACAACATATGGGCTTGTGTTTGTTTCCCAACTACCTCAATCTTTTTGATCTTTGCCAATATAAAAGTAGTTCAATGTCATTATCTCTTGTATCTGATTTGCATTTATTTGATTGGGGGACAATTTAGAGCATACTTGAATGTATATAAAAGTTATTGGCATTACTTTTTCTATGAACTATCCATTTTGGGGACCATTTTTATAAAAGACTGCTGATCTTTACCTAATTATTTTTACATGACAGATATGTAAATGAAGGTGGGAGAAAAATCAACTTCCTGGTATTCTGTAGGCAGAAATTTTGTATAAACAATATTAAGTAACTAAAATGATGGCTTGCTTTTCTAATAAAGTATGATATCAGTTTTAATAATTTACATCTAAATGATATTCTTACTTAATCACAGTTTTAATACATACTTGATTATTTTTAGTAAAATTTATATAACAATGCATGAAGAACAGCATTCACTAGGATAAGAAAGGTTTACCTTTCGAAAAAGTCTTTGACTTCCACCACCAGCAGATGTTGGATAATAAATGTAAACATTGTGATCTTCTGCACTGACTGGCTTTTCTACAAACGGCTTTTGGAAAACTTCCCCATTTACTTCTACATGATCTTCCCCTTCAATTAGACTGCATTCTATAAATCAAACATAATAGCGAGGAAAATTATACATTGTGTATTATCTAGATTGAGAATTTTTTTGATTTAAATAAAAATTACAAAGAAAAGTAACCTTGGATAAAGTACTGATTTGGTTTTAATTAAAAACACTTATACAAATAATATGTACCAACATTTATGATATATGGCATTAGGGACTTTAGTCGTTCTTCAAAACCTTATGGACCTGCCATTTACCACCCCATAGAAATCAAAGTTAGATATGAAACAATGCTTACAAGAAAGATTGAGAAATAACTCTAGAATGCTATCATTTCCTGAAAAACATATGGGATCACCCATATCACAAATACCACAAAACACGAAATTATTTAATTTAAAAAGCAACAGATATGTAGAGTAAGTAAGCAATCCAATCAGAAAGTTAATTTTTTATCTCTAGATAAACAAGAAGTTCTGTTACAGATAACAAATGCTATACCTGTGTATTAATAAAAGTTACTTTAAGGTACAATGAAGTTACACTGTTATCAGCATATTAAATCTTAATACAGACACACAGTTATCTTGCCTTTTTAGACAAAGTTATATATAGCTTACATGCTGTTTTAGGTAACCAGGAAAATGAAGCAAAGGGTATTTTAAAGTATTAATAAATAGTAATATTTCAAAATTCCTAGTCATCAGAAATTTAATTGTGCCATCTCAGCATTAAGTTTCTAATCCTTAATTCAATGGTCATAGATGGATCACTTGTTTATCCCTAATCAATACAAATTTTTGAAAGCACGTAATTTAAAATTTCTTTATGATTTTCGGAGATATGTCATATATAAGCCAAAGAAAAACAGGATCTATAACTCCTAAATTATCAGTTAGCCTTTAGCTCAATATCACATTTTTAACTGAATACAATGCTTGTTTATTTGGATCATAAAAAAAAAACTGAATAGAATACTTTGAGTTCTTTATAGTCCTTCCACTTAATTATAAGGGGGAAGTGGCTCAAAAGTATGTTGAATGACAGAAAACAGCTTGCTTAAAATCTCTTACAGTTACCTTTGGGATTATTTGGGTCACGGTTCAAAATGGCATAACGAGGAAGTAAAATACCTTCAGCTTGAAGGATACTATATACTTCCCTCCTATAGAAAAAGAAAAATGAATATCTTAATTATTTTATAGCTGCTTCACAAGTATAACATTGTATGGTTCATAAGTGTATTACTGTTTTACCACTAAAAAAGGAATGTAAATTAAGATTTTTTTATATAAAGAAATATGTCATTTAAAATACTGAAAAAATATATCACAAATATTCAGCAATTAAAACAACAATGTATGCATAGTATATTAGGTGGCATATTAAAATACTGATTTCTAAAAATTGAGAATGTGAATGTATATAAAGGAATGGTTAAATAAAGTTGCTATATTGCAATGACAGTATATTACCTAACCATTAATACTCTATATAAATTTAATAACATGGGAAAATACTGACAGTATAAGAGTTGTCTTAATTTTGTAAAATGTGAGTGCATGAATATATTGCTTTCTATATGAACAAATATGGTAGATGTAGTGGCAGAGTTAAATGTCTTTATGCTTTTATTTTCCTAAAGCGAATAGGCATTAGCATATATACATATATTTATACTTATAATGCATAAGCATGCATTAATATGCAAACCTAAAAATGTTTTAAAATTTTAGATATTAATGGTGTTACCATCTAAAAGAATAATGAAAAACAAAATAACTATAGGGCCATATACTTTATAAAGTATTTTCATATATATAATTTCATATTGTAATACTAACACAAAAGACAGAATGCTAGTGAAATTATACGGGTAGTCATCAGAGTGCAACATCAATTAAATGAAATACATTTACATTTTACTATTTCTCTTAGAAAGCCATGCTTTTGGATTTCTAAGAGAAATGGTATGCCTATTAAATGAATGCTAAGATAAATAGTGAAATATTTTTTAAAAATAGTTACACTTTACCATTAAAAATCACCTAGTAATAATGAATTAAGGCCTAATTTCCTCATCAGTCACATGGTAAATTGTTGATCATTTCCATGATTTTAGTAGGATTTGGAAATTAAACAACCTTGGTGTTAAGTCCTTGTCCCACTACTTGTAGAACTACTTGTGACTTGGGGCAAATTAATGGGTATCTCTAGTTCTCAAGTCTCTTCATCTATAAAACTGGGTATGAATATCTACTTCTAAGAATTATTTCAAGGATACCACAAATTAATGTATATGAAAACACCTGATACTATATTTGCTTATAGTTGATACTAAATCAAAGTTAATTTTCCTTCCCTCAATTCAGCCAACTTCACCACTCACTCACCTATCTTGTATGAGATACTGCATATTCAAATCATTGATAACAAATGGATTCCTGAGTTTTGCATAGGCAACTGCTTTGTCCAGTGGAAATCCTAAGAACATATATCATTAACATATTCTGAACAATCTCAAGATAAGTTGACATCTATAACTTTATCAAGTTGAATTTAAACCATCTCCCATAAAAGCTGAATTTCACTAGGCATATAACTGTTTTCTATAAAGGCATGGAATAATTCAACAAATAAAACTTGATTTAATGTATACTGTTAAATAAACTTTATTTTCTCCTAATTACTTTGACTGATAAGGCACAGCAAGCCATATATAACCAAATTTAAAGCACTGACGTGGTTAGGAACTGTTTAGCTATTCAGTCACCTAATAAAGGGCACAACTGCCTCATAAACAAATAGAAATCTCCACATAAATAAGAGTATCACAATCACCTGGTAATTTTTAAAAAATATTCACAACTCTGCCTCTCACTTAAAATATTTTGGTGCTTATATCTATAAATTAGCTGATAGTTCAAATTCACATACAACAGATATATGCTCAAAATATAAAACACATGAGCAGAATGCTTGCAGCTACTCTGTCAATGTTAAAATATCAGAATTAACTACCTAAAATTTCCAGACTTTGCTAAAATTACTAAGTATAATGAAAACAAACCAAATGGCTAATAGTCTTAAAAAATCTAAAAAAAATTAATGATTATATGTCACTCTGTGCTGACAGAAATCTACAATTTTATCCATCAATTCATATTATTCAGAGAGGCAGTAAACCAGAGGTTAAGAGCATAAACCAGGGTTGAAATTCTGCTTCCATCCTTCATCTGCTATGTGATCTTGAACAAATTTATTTAACACCTCTAAGCCTCTGATTCCTGGCTGTAAATGGGTATTATGTCAGTCTTGCCTAGTAGGGTTTTTGAGGAATTAAATATAAGTGTATATAAAATACTTAACCTAATACGTGCTACAAAAAAATGCTGAATAAATGTTAACTGTTATTATTCCTTAAATGACAATATTTTAATGAATATTTTATCAAAGGAAATGCATAAAAATCAGCATGCATGCATAACTTTAGCATTTAACAGTACCTGTATACAACATAGTATCATAGTATACAACAGTACCTGTGAAGACCTGTATTTTATAGCATTACCAGAATAGTTAGAAGGAAGTATTAAAGCATACTAAAATTAAAAGAAAACAAAAATCTAGTCAATTAAAGACTCATTCCAAAAATTTAAATAAAAATACCCAATACCAACAATCATTTGACCATAAATTATAAATCCTTCAAGTTTTATGAAGATTCTCAGAAGAATTCTTCACTTATAAAGATGTCTCAATGTCTGATTTGAAGTCTCCTAAAGCAATTCGGCAACAGTTCGCTGTTTTTGTTGTTAAAGATGAACTTTTTCCCTTATCAAAAGACAGCGCACGAGATATAACCTTAGATAGAGCCTAGTTTTAATAGGCAAGTAGGTTTTATAGAGAGAACCATGTGGTAGTAAGGGAAGAACACCTTACCCTCAAGGACAAGCAAATTTTAAGATTCTCTGAAATGATGAACTTCAGTCTATAAAGAAGACCAGGGCCTTGGCTTCTCTATGAAATAATAAAAATCAATATAGGCTGTAGGAGCAAAAAGGGTCTCAATCCTTCTTGGTGAAGGAGATATTTCTTGAATACCTAACTAAAGTCAGACTTGAACACAGCTGGAGACTACATATTTTGATAATAGGAACGATATAATATGAACACATTTATAAATGAGTGGAAATCTCTATAATTCTTGGTGAGAAATTCAATTAATTTACAGAATCTTAGATTATAAAATTTCAGATACATGTCTAACAATAATTTTGATTAGTACACATACCATGAAGTACTACTTTACTATAAAGTAATACTGAAGCTTAATTAATATTTCAGTTTGATTATAGACGTCAGCCAGTAAAATCTAAATTCAAATATTAAGTTCTTAAGAAAGAAATAAAGTATAAATATGTAGAGGAGAAATGAAAGATCATTTCCTATATGGCAAAAGCATAAGGGATTAAAATACTCAGTAATTTAAGAATTTACCCTAAAAATCCTAGAGTTGCAACCAAAGATACACTTGAGTTCATCAAAATCTTCTTTTTAATAGTGAAACCTGGAAACCATCTAATCGTTAGGATATTGTATACATATGCTATAGTATACCCACATAACGATACACTATAACACCTTTAAAAAAATCAGGTTTTTGAAGAATCATATGGAGAAAAAAACTTCTGGTTAGTGAAAAAAGTTAAATACAAAATTACACATACACTGTAATACTAAATATGTTTCTAAAAATATATACGAAAAACAAGGTTGGTAAAAAATATATCAAATGTTAATATCACTTATCTGAGTATTTTATTTTTCTAATCTACCTAATATTCTACAATTAATAATGTATTAGTTTTATAATCAGAGAATAAAGAGTTTCCCTTCCCATTCTTTAATACCTTTAGAATGGAAAGAAATAAGACAATCACATAAAGGCCAGTTTTCCACTGGTTCATTCAAAATAACATCCTCTTCAAATACTACTACTGTAATATATTTAAATAAGGAGATCCGCTCAAGAATTTCCTTCATTGGTTTGGATTTGGATTTCTTTGCCATGGAACATATTCCAACCACAATCTGCCTTTCCGGTGGCTAAAACAAAAAAGAAACAAAAAATCAGGTTGACTTAATAGGAATCCGAAGTACGGCTATATTAAATCTTTTTCAGAAGTAACTGAGCCATGTGATGAATCAATAAAAGTGACAGAATAACCCAAAAAAGTCATTTTTTAAAATTATATCATTATTATACATACTTAAAAAATAATAGTTTTCTACAACTATTTAAAAAATTTTAAACATTTTCAGAACATTGTTACTATTTTCTTTCAAATTTTAAATGTAAATATGCTTTTAATTGTCCCCAGTAAATTTATTTACCTTCCTCACACCAGAAAGCGGCAAATAAAAGCCAAACCCTATCTAATCCAAGCACAAAGGCCAGTGGGGGTGAGATAAAGAATTCTTTTGATTAAAATAAGATATTGTTCTGACTAAAGCTATAGAGTATTAAACTATTTTGTAGATTGAGCTTCACTATTAGTTGGTCAACCACGACAACATGGAATGAAATTCTGGGGAAAGCCACACTGCCAGCAGGGGTGTGGATGCTCCCCGACACCCCAACTTCACACTCTAATACTCCTGCTTAATGGTGGTGGTGTTCATCTCCGGCACCCCTGCTGCAGTTCAGAGTCCGAAACTCAGCCTAAACTAAAAAAGCAGAAAATGGAAATAATTAACTATGAGTAGTTCACAGGTTTATAAAATTACTCAAGATTTATTAAAGTCTTTGCATTCAGGTGCTTAGTTTCTATCAAATATATAAAGCGGTGCCCCACTGGGCTCAAATTATATTTGAGTTACAAAGTTTTACTGGACTTTTCCTAATTACAACTCTAAAAATAAAACTGGATAACATCAGAATGAAATTGTTATTCCTCTTTGGTCTAGAATTATATTCCTTCATTGCTCTAATCATACAAAATTCAATTGGTTCTGGATTTGACTATAAACCCTAACCTCCCTGGGATTTTCCCTTACTTAGTTCTTTCTTGCTAAAAAGCTTCGACATAGCTCCTTATGATGTTCCTAAAGTAGATTTCTTAGACAACAAAAGTACCCTACCTAACACTTCATACTGCTTTACAGTTAAAGAAAAAAAAAAGCTAATATGTTAAGCTTTGTTTACTTATTATAGATCTAATGAATAGATTATATTCATTATAATCTATTCATTATAGATTTAATGAATATATCTGATCATTGGCTAGGATGAACAGAAAACATTCATGTTTAAAGTGCACAAATAAACCTACGTTAAGAAAAAAAAATCCAGTTAGCATGCAGATGTAGGTAGACATGCCTCACTCGCCTCATTCCACAACCATACGAAGGAACACAACTAGCTTAAGGACAAAAAAACACCCACAACTGCCTGAAATTACCTAGAACAAACCGAGCACTGTATAGAAGTCTGACAACCAAGGACGTAAAGCAGCTATACTTATCCATATGGGTAGGAGGCCAGGAGACGGGGAGCCTGGGTAGACAGGTTTTGATGTGGTGGCGGCAATCTAGAGGTGGAGAGGTGGCAAAGTTACAGCAGCCAGGGAAACTGGCAGCCCAACATTCATGCATGGTGGATAAAAATCAGGGAGACACCTTGTGAGCGAGTGAGCCCAGCCTCAGGCCAGACTGCACAGTACAGGGTTCCAGCACTGGGAAAAAGAAAAGTCTTGTAACTGTTGGCTGTAAACCCAGTGAGAGTGGGAACAGCAGAAGACATTGCCACAGGGCCCGGAATGTTGGGAAACCCACCCACCCTGGGAACCACAACCAGGACAGCAGCGGAAGGGGTGCCAGTCTCAGATGGGAAGTAGGTGAAGTGACTAGAAATAGGGCAAGGGCCAAGCAAGCCTCCAGAAGTCAGACAGCAGTGCCACTGTCCCCTCTTCAACACTTCCCCGACACACAGACCACAGTTGCCCACCCTGGAGAAACCTAAGGCTCTGGTCCACACAACTTAACGGGTGTGCTAAAATGGAATCAAAGTAGCTCTACCTAGTACACAGATAAAGGAAGGCTGCCAAAATCAGGAAACAAAGAAATATGGCCCAAATGAAGAAATGGAACAGAAACCCAGAAAAAAAGTAAGCAATGAGGAGACAGCCAACCTATCAGATGCAGAGTTCAAAACAATGGTGGTCAGAATGTTCAAAGATCTCATTGAACATGGCAAAAGCATAAGGGAAGAAATGAATGTTACACTAGGGAAACAATGAAAAATCCACAGGAGACCAACAGTGAAGGGAAGGAAGCCGGGATTCTAATCAATGATTTAGAACAGAAGGAAGAAATAAACATTCAACCAGAACATAATGAAGAAACAAGATTTAAAAAAAACAAGGAGTGTTTAAGACAACGCTGGGACATCTCCAAAAGGGCCAACATCCAAAACATACTGATGCCAGAAGAAGTGGAAGAGCAACAAACTGAAAACTTATTTGAAAAAATAATGAAAGAAAAGTTCCCTAATTTGGTGAAGGAAACAGGCATACAAGTCCAGGAAGCACAGAGAGTCCCAAACAAGTGGGACCCAAAGAAGCCCACATCAAGCCACATCATACTTAAAATGTCAAATGTTAGAGAATCTTAAAAACAGCAAGAGAAAGATAGTTACCTACAAAAAAGTTCCCATGAGAACATTAAACTGAACAAAGATTAAAATGACAACAAATTCACAACTATCAACAACTGAATCTAAGAAACAAAGACAAACTAAGCAAACAACAGGAATAGAATCAAAGATATGGAGCTTATGCGGAGGGTCAACAGCTGGGAAGGGGAAGGGGAGAGATTGGGGGAAAAGGTAAAGATGTTTAGAAGCATAATTAGGTAGGTACAAATAGACAGGGGTTGTTAAGGACAGTATTGGCAAGGGAGAAGCCCAAGAACCTACGTGCATATTCCATGGTCATGAACTGAAGAGAGGAAATGCTGAAGGGAAGGGGGAAACTGAAGAGAGGGGGAGCAAAGGGGGAACATCTATAACACCATAATCAATAAATTATACTTTAGTTTTTAAATATATTTTACTGACTATGCTATTATACTTGTCCCATTTCCCCCCTTTAATCCCCTCCACCCTGTAACCCCCCCTCTCACCAGCATTTCTTACTTCATGTCCATGGGTTACACAAAAAGTTCTTTGGCTTCTCCATTTCCCATACGATTCTTAACCTCCTCATCTATTATGCTTCTTAATCCTAGTACCTTTTTGCCCATTCTCCCTGGTCCTCTTACCTGCTGATAACTCTCCATGATCTCTATTTCTGTGAATCTGTTCCTGTTCTAGTTGTTTGCTTAGATTGTTTGTTTGTTGATTGTTGTGAGGATGTCATTTTATTGTTCATAGTTTTGATCATCATCTTTTTCTTAGATAAGTCCCTGCAACATTGCATATAATAAGGGCTTGGTGATGATGAACTCCTTTAACTTGACCTTATCTGGGAAGCACTTTATCTGCTCTCCCATTCTAAATGATAGCTTTGCTGGATAGAGTAATCTTGGATGTAGGTCCTTGCCATTCCTGACTTGGAATACTTCTTTCCAGCCCCAACTTGCCTGTAAGGTTTCTTTTGAAAAATCAGCTGTTTTACAGGAAGGAACTCCTCTGTAACTGTCTCCTTTTCTCTTGCTGCTTTTAAGATTCTCTCCTCTTTAATCTTGGGTAATGTAATTATGATGTGCGTTGGTGTGTGCTTCCTTGTGTCCAAATTTTTGGGACTCTCTGAGCTACCTGGACTTCCTGGAAGTCTATTTCCTTTGCCAGCTTAGGGAAGTTCTCCTTCATTATTTTTTCAAAAACTTTTCCATTTCTTGCTCTTCCTCTTCTCCTTCTGGGACTCTTATGATTCTGATATTGGAACATTTCAAGTTGTCTCAGAGGCTCCTAAGCCTCTTCTTTTTTTGAACTCGTTTCTTCATTGTGTTCTGGTTGAATGCTTACTTTTTCCTTAGCTCTAAATCATTGATTTGAGTCCTCATTTCCTTCCTGTCACTGTTGGTTCCCTGTACATTTTCATTTACTTCACTTTTCATAGCCTTCACTCTTTCCTCTATTTTGCAACCATACTCAAACATTTCTGTGATCATCCTAAATACCAGTGTTTTGAACTCTGCATCTGATAGGTTCTCTATCTCATCTCTTAGTTCTGTTTGTGGAGCTTTGATCTGTTCTTTCATTAGGACTGTATTATTATTGTCTCAGTGCACCTGTTACATAGTGAGGGGTGGAGCCTTAGGTATTTGCCAGGGAGAAGCAACCCATGTGGCTGTGTTGTGGCACTATATGTAGGGTAGGGGTCCCAGAGGGAACAATGCCACTTGCTGTGCTCTCTGCTGGTTTTGTTACTTGCCCTGCTACCCACAAGCAAACTGGGTCCTTCTGGTGCTGATTCTGGGGTGGGTGGGTTTGTGAACATTCTAGGACCCTGTGGGTCTCTCCAATGAACTCTCCTGTGAGGCTTGGAGTTTCTCTAGCTGCCACAACCCCCACACATTTTTTATCACCAGAAGTTTTTGAGGCTTTATTTCCCTGTGCTAGAACCCTGGGTTGCACAGTCTTTCTTGCTCCCCAGTTGTTCCTCCCCATTTATCTATATGCAAATGTGGGACCATCTGGTCCTCCAGGCACCTCCTTGCTATGCATAATCTCTGCCAGGGCTGCTTGTCACTGCCTCTCCTACCAGTCTGGATGAATGTTTCTTCTTTAACTCCTTGGTTGTCAGACTTCTATACAGTTCAATTTTCTGGCAATTTTTGGTTTTTAACTTTGTTGTTGTCCTTCTTTTGGTTGTGCAAGAAGACAAAGTATATCTACCTATGTCTCCATCTTGTCCCAAAGTCTCAAGATGATTATTTATCTAAAATATACGTTAAAATAAAGAAAAATAGAACAGATGGGATGTTCAATCTGGAAAAAAAAAAGAGCCCTGGGTGGTGTGGCTCAGTGGATTAGTGCCGGCCTGCGAACCAAAGGGTCACTGGTTTGATTCCTGGTTAGGGCACATTCCTGGGTTATGTATGGGCCAGGTCCCCTCTGAGAGGGTGCACAAGAGGCAACCACATATTGATGTTTCTCTCCCTCTTGTTCTCCTTCCCTTCTCCTCTCTCTAAAAATAAATAAATAAAATCTTTAAAAGAAATGAAAGAAAAAATTACAGAATTTTCCTACTTAGGTAAAGCCTTATAAGAATGAAAATAATTTTTAAAACACATCTAAGTTATTTTGTTAGATATAATGTCTAAATGAAATTCTTTGAAATCTCAACAACAGAAGAATGATCTGGAACCAATTGTTTTATCAATCTGTAGGTCAAATGAGCCAATCAAGCTTCTCAAAAGTGATTAACTACACATTCTGAATGTAAACTCAATTTAAGTAGTACCAATATTGCAAGAACTATATTACGCACTGAAGAGTTAAGATATACAGAAACTACCTGCCCTCAAAGTAGTTTGAGTCTAAGGGGGGACAGAGTAATAATATAGTATGTTATGATCAGTGAAATAAAATATATATGTCAAAGTACAGAAATAGTACCAAGAAGTGTTCAAATCTCAAAGGGAAAAGAACAAGGAGAGGGGGAAGAGTGAGTTACAGGAAATCTAATCATGCTTTTGAAGAATAAAAAACAATTCATTAGGCACCCCAAAACAAGAGCATTTCATAGAGATAAAGGAGTGCATACAACAGCAAAGAGGCATGATAAAACATGGACTAACTGGGAAATAAAACTTTGATATTGCTAAAACATAAAAGGTAAAAGGGATGAGAGAGGGTATGGTTCTAGATGCAGGTGAGAGAAAAAAAGTCTTTACCTGTAAAATGACTTGATCTACCAATTGTGTTAAAAACTCTATTAAGAAAAAGGGTAAGTGTAGTAGAAGCTGTGCCAATAGTACTTTCCAGTCTAAGTCAGCCAGAGAAGCTCTGTTGTTATGCTTTACTTACTGGTCTTCTAGATAAGACTTCAGATAAAGAAAAGGTGTGGCTGGTAAGAGAAGCTTAAAAGTCATTATATTTTTTGTGGAGTGAGGTGGGTGATGGGGTAGGTTTTATACTAGTGACAGTCTGACTTGCACTCCAGATATGTGTAATTGCACTGTAGAAACTGTTGCTAAATGACTACAAAAAAAATTAGAGTCATCTAATAGGTATTTTGGTTTGTCTTTACTACTTTTATGAAGTACAACAGAGTTTTGTTTTAAAACAAAATTACCTTTCCAACTAAAAATATAAGAAACACAAACATAGTACAAGTTAATTGGGTAAAGCAATCTCTACTTGTAAGGGAAAACCAAGTCAAGTAAGAATAATATTGAACTAATGTAACTATAACTAAATTAACATGATAAATGTGTCATTCCTAAAGATCCAACATGGATATATAATCTAATAGATCAGATCAGGAAGTGAACAGAACTCACATACACTCATACACACACAATCAGTAGGTATGTAAGACAGACAGTCTTTCCTTTTAGCCACACAATGTATGTATTTCTGATAAATATGGATTATCTTCTGGTCTACCACCACCTGTGTTGACAACAAGACAAACTTAATAAAGCTGGTTAAGTAGTCCTACTCTGGTACCTTTGAAATTATTTCCTTCTACTTTAGCTTGAAATAATTGCTATGTACTTCTACATATACAAGAAACCCTTTTGAATTATGGCCACATTTTCTAGTCAGTCCTGTGTTTTACAAGGTATATCAATGAAAGACACTATAATAGGCATCATTAAACAATCTAAATGTCTGACCCCTAAATGTAGTTCTTGATGTATCATAAATCAGTGTCATTCATAGAACAAAATATGTTTTCCAGTTTAAAATATTTCCAGCAAATTTCTATATGAAAAAAATGTCTTCACAATCTCAGACAATAGTATTAATTCACCTTAACAGTGATCAGTAAAACACCTACCCTTTATTGGTCTTCTCTTGCCCCAAAAACAGTAACAACAAAAACACCAACTTACAGACTCATCCTCCTCCTCCTCATCTTCATCTGCATGGTGGAAGAAATGTCGATAATTACCAGGGTTGATTTCTGTATCTTCAGGTCCAACAAAGAATCTGGGGGCTTCACTCATTTTTATTTCATTTGATGTAGGTTACAATTTAAATGTATTATACTAAACTTTCTTCTACACAAACAGAATCAGAAGAATGCATTCTCTGTCTACCAGTTGACACAGGTCTGTTACAGCATGTTTCTGCTCACACGGTCACTTAAATTGTGAGGACAGTTAGTTGGCACATGTTCTTTCGTACTCAGATATCATTGCTTCATTGTTGATGCAGTGTAAAAAACAAAGATAGTGAGGTTATTGCTTCAGTCAGATGATTCAGCAATTCTTTTACCTAAAATGCAATAAAAAGTTAATTTAAATGAAGTTTATAAAATCTGTACCAATAACTTGATACATACCTTCAAAGTGAAAAGCTATTTCTTCCATAAAATTAAAGAAATTAAGACTCTGATCTTCAATAATATACATCTTTGAAACTTGACAAACTGATACAAAATAACACAAAAATTACAAACTAAAGTTCTCAAGTCCAAAATGATCTAACAAATTAGGGGAAATTATTTACATTTTAACAAAATTATATCAAAAACTAAATTCCTCTGCTCACAGTTCAGAAATATCTGCAGGGAAAACAACAGATAACATGTAATGGGTTTAAAAACCATTGATTGACCACTACATATCAGTCTGAAATTACATGAAAACATTTTTTTTAACAGTGTATTGCTTTATTGGGGTGGGACTGGAAGAGAAGACACCATGCTGAGGAACAAAATCAATTAAAGGAATACAAGTGCAGGAAACAATAAAAATGTTAAAATAGTAATACCCCAAATGGGTGACTACAATCATTTTCTTAAAAGGACTTCACTTGTGGAAGAAAAATTTTAATTGCTGTTGCAAAAAACATCTGTGTAAAGCTCAAATTCGTTTCAATAACATTAGTAGAGAATACATTCTAGAAACTGGAGATAACTGAATGAAATATCCTGGCAGCAATTTAATAGAACAGTCCCGGTAGGTAAGGCTGAGGCCAATCCCAATGGAGAACGAAAACCTTGTCTGTGGAGAATTTTGGAACTTAAATGGAAAAATATTATACTGTGCATAACCAAACTGAATTGTTGTCACAAATATCATAAAGTTTTATATAGTAAAAATTTTTTCTGTAGGCACTTCAATTTCACTGCAGGAGTTGCACAGGACACCAAAACACAGAAGAGAACATTCATGCAAGATCTCTAACTCCTTGATATAATAATGTATACAATTCAAAATGATTACATGATCATTAATTACATCTAGGGCTTTCTGCAACTACAAGGTGGTAGTTATGGAAAACATGGCTCCAGGTACCAGTATCTAAAAAGCAGCCACCACCTTCTTCTATGTGTGTTCTCTTTTTGTGTTTTTTTCTTGATCAACTCTACTGTTGTTGCTGCTTCTTAGCAAAACTGGTAAAAACAAAGTCGTAATCATTGAACATAGCACTCTAGCAATCAAGACATTTAAAACCTTCACCCATGCCTCATTTAGAACTCCGATTTACAAAAAAAAGGTGGTCACAAATTTTTCTGGCTTGGAGATTTCCACAACTTTCCTGATCAAGTCATCATAGGAAGTCTGACTGAAGTTTGTTTGAAAGCTAACATAAGAAAATTCTGGTTCTGGAGTGATGTGAACAGTCCATTAAGTTCTATCCAATCTCATGCCATTCATCGAATTCCCACAATGACTGAACACTATGGCATCAATGACAGAACCTGGTGTGAGGTCATGAATTCCACTCTCACAAGTGATATCCTTTACAGCAACACCATCTTTCATGGAAAACTGATCCCTAACTGGGTCAAACTCACTCATCAGATCTCCAGGGTTTGACCTGGCTGACTGATGACCCTATTCTCTGGGAAATTCAAAGTATACAAGCACCAACAGTCAGAATTCACATGCCCCATGCAATATGCTGCTCCGTTGAAGAAAATTACATTAATAAAACACTGTTTCTTCCTGGAAATTTCTTCCTGGTGAGAAGGCTTCCTGAAATTCTTACAAGAATAAAAGAAGCTTTAAATTGAGTCAAACCCACTGTAATGTTTGAACAGGGAAAACCCAGCAGGTTTGAACAGGGGAAACCAGTGCTTTCAATAAGAGGGAGGTACCACATGTCTTCAAAATGAAACATCTCTTGGAACAAACATGCTACTCTTACTGAGCACACAGCTTCCTGCTTGTCAGTTTTTGCCCCATTTTAGATTGAACATGGCACATTCTTCAAAAGGATGTTCTACTCAGATCTTGCAAAAGTGTGAAGATCCCCGGATCCTTGATTTGTGTCAGGTTGCTGCCTGGAGAACCACAACTCCAGTAGCTTCTCCAACCCTTCAAAAAAGTATGCAGCTTCCATCACCATGAGACTAGCAAACAACAAACCACCACCGAAAATCAACTAAATTACATAAATTTCTTCTCCTGCCACTGCTATAGATTGTTGCAGCTGTTATTACTATTATTAAAGTCCAGGTTGCCTTTTTTGCCTTTTTTTGTTATTTTATATTAACATTTTGGGGAAAAAAGGATTAATAAAATTTTCCCAGCTTTTGTGTGTGTGTATGAGTTGTGTGAGCAGTTGATCCTGAGTCTGTTGGAAATAGAGGCAAATACATTTCAGTCTTTTGTGGTCCGCCTTTCCACAGCAGAGAGAGCAGAGCCAGTGCTAGCTAATGTTGCCGGCCATGCTGTGGAAGCCAAAGCAATTTTTGAAAGGCTTCAGTTTGTAAAAGTTCAGTTTGCAAAGAGGTTTTTTAGAGAATATAACTATTCTTCATCCTGGACTCACATATAAACCAACAAAACAAGATTACAGTGAGCAGTGTTTGATTGTAACAGCAATTCCTAAACTTTTAAAAGTCAAAAACTGGCAAATCTGATAAAATCTATGGATTCTCTCCTCAGGAAAAAAAAAATGTGCATGTGCACTAAATCCTGTATGCAGCTGTATGTGACTGACTGACATCCAAACTCCTCTACATATGATGCCTATGGACATCAGTTTAAGATCCATCATACATCAGGGATAAAACCTCAAAGCTGTTTACATGTACTTGTTGTTCCTTGGTCATATTAAAAATAATCACCTGTCAAGATGAAACTACAAATCAAATGTTTCATTTGATTACTGGTAATATAAGAAATTACTAGATGAAATATTCTTCAGAGTTGAATAATATGCTAGATAGAATTGCAAAGCATAACTCCAAAAGTCCTATTCCCAAAGACCTAATTCCAATCAAATGGGATTATAAATTTGAGATGGTCTTGAAAATGAAATGACAAGGCAGATACCACAGCAATTAGCATATGGTAAGCATGAAGGAAATGTTAGCTGTTTATAAATCTTGTTAACTAGTATAATTAAGACAGAGATTCTGACCTAAACTTAACTGGCAGAGAACAAATATAAATAATTTAATTTAGAATGTACCTATTTGCCTCACATGTAATGAAGCTACAGAAACTCCTTCCACTGCTGCTGCTGGAGACCTCATTACATTTTTTCTAGTCTTACCACACTGCTTGAAGCTATCATAAACACTACTGCCTGGAATAAATAGTCATCTCCTTCACATCTTTACTGGTCATGGTCAAAGCTACCAATCCTTAAAATGACACCTTGGATCATCCATCACTCCTTTGTAGTATTCAGAACCCTCCCTTACCTGAACTTAAAATATTTCTAAGCCATCATCTTAACCCTTTCTGTAGGTTCCCTCAGGAGCCTAACTCTGAACTAGTAAATCTCAGTTGCCAAAATCAGAGAAAATAGGAGCTCTAGCTCTTGATGCTCAGCTTGAACAGACGCATAACCAGATTTCCTGAAATCCCAAAAGTATTTTCCAGTGGAAACACTGCTACAAATGGTGGCACGTTTCAGGGCACTATTACTACAGCTACCTAATAGGTTATTAAATAGGCTGCAGCAGGCTGGCAAAGGCAGGCTAGCATCATTTATAAGATTACTTAGAGAAGTAACATGCCAAGTTCTACAAAATCTTCACACTGATTTTTTTTACTTCTTCAAACATTCAAACAAAATCTTTTTGCTGAGCCTGCCTTTCCTCCTGCCTGGAATTCTCTACTCTCCTTAGAAGTTCCTATTTCTCCTTCAATAACCAACTGGACAGTCCTCAATAAATGCCTTTCTGACAATGATCAAGCCTCTGCCAGCCCTCAAATATGTGTCAGTTTCTTTTCCCATCCTCTACGCTCCACATTTTGGATCTATCTTTACAATGATCTGTTTCCACTGGAGTTAGGGTTTTTATTCACTAACTTTGTATCATGAAAAATTTCAAATGCTGAGAAAAGGCAAAAAAATTTCACTATAAACATATATCCATCACTAGACTCAACAATTGCTAACATTTTGCTATATTTATTTTCCATTTTTATACACACATATATTTGCTGTACCATTTCAAAGTAGGTTGTATATATCAATAGACTTCATCTCTAAATATTTTAGTATGCATCTCCTAAAAATAAGGGCATTCTCCTACATAACCACAATATTATTTCCACTTAAGAAAATTAATTGTTCCATGATACTATTTATATGTAGTTGCATAGAAGTTTTTGGAGAACAAGGACTTCCTCTATATTACTAGTACTTAGTTTAATACCCTCCCTTAGTTTAATACCCAGTTTAATACCCTCCCAACACCTACCGTCCAAGTCGTAGGAGTTTAACACTTAAAGAGTAGGCTTTGATTCCACAGCTCTGAACTTTCTGCATTATCAGTTTAATCCAGCAATTTTCAACCTTTTTCATTTCATGGCTCACAAACTAATTACTAAAATTCTATGTCACACCAAAAATATATTTCTTGCCAATCTGACAAAAAATAGGTATAATTTTCATTCATTCACATCAAATAACTATTGTCGTGTTGGGTTGTCATTTCTTTGACAATCTAAAGGGAAAGAGGTCAGGGCTTCTGACTAAACAGTAAGGTACTGCATGTTTTAAAAATTCTTGTGGCACACCAGTTGAAAATCGCTGATTTAATTACTTGCTTTAAACAAGGCTATGCTACAATAATATAGTCTTTTGCTTTGGGAACTACTTAATTCCACATCACAATACTGAAACTCTGTAAAGACAGAGACCATGTCTGTCTTTTGTTAGACACATAAGTAGGCATACCTCCCCACCTCCAAATTTTAATGAGTACTTTCAGCCACTGCAAGTGTAAGAAATTAGAAGTGATGAAGCGTAATAGCAAGCCAATAGTAGTATAACAGTTAAGAATACAGATTATAGAATCTGAAAAACCTGGTTCCTAATACGGGTTCACATGGTTAATAGCACTAGCAGTTTACTAAGGCAAGTTATGTGACCTCTCTGAGCCTCAGTTTCTATCTCTGTAAAATAAGAATAATCATCTAACTCGTGGAATTGTTGAGAGGGGAGTACAAGAAAATATGTAAAGCACTTGGCACATATAAGAACTCAGTTAATGTCAGCTATCCCTATTATTTTACCTGCCTAAAACAAAAACTTTTTCATTGAATAATGTTCAACAGTAAAACAAAAGCCTATCCCAGTGTAGAACAATGATGGTAGGTGCTAACGTCGGCCATGCTTCTTACTTCCATTTAAGCCTTTCAGCACGCTAAGCAAGGTAAGGTGTTGCCCGCAGGACTCCAAAGGTCGCAAACTCTCTGGAAGTCGTTGAGAACCTAGTGAATGAGATCCAGTGGTCACCACCCTCGCCCTGCTTTCTCAAAGCGTGAAAGGATGCACCACTCTCCAACTGAGTAGGTGCGGCAGTGACCTACTCCGTCCTCACTCCGGAAAGCTGCCACGATTGGGGGGTTTTGTTCTTTTTAAGTGCGGGTGGAGGCGCGAGGGGCAAAGGGATAAAGACTGCGAAATGGAAATAAAAGGTCATTTCTATCCACAGCAGTCCCCAAACTCGACGCTGCCTACTTTGGTGGAGCGAGACCGTAGTCCAGAGTATCAGCCAGAAGCTCGCCTGTTCCCTGCTGAACTGACACCTCTTTCTTAACCGAGAAAAGGAAAAGGGAAGAACTGAGGAAAAGAAATTAAAACGCGAGACGACCCGCAGGGCTGTACTGTTACTCCTCCACGCTACTTTTCGCTCTGGCACCTGCCCCTTAGAGGAGCGCGTGTCTAAGGCTCCGCAGAGCAGGAGGAGACAAAGCAACTGCCCAGCAGCGGCTGCAAACCTTGGGTGACCAGGTTCCGCATCTCGGTTTTTCTCTGGTCTCGGGGCCCTCACCTCCGCTGCGGTAGTCACGCGATCTGCTGGAGATGGCCGACCCATACAGGTCTCGGTTTCCCCTTTAATCCCGAGGGCAGGGGTGAGGTGTTGGTCAGCACACTCCAGCTATTAGCGTGATCGTGGGTCTTCCTTCTTCAGAGCAGAAGTGCCACATAGAGGTAGCGCATGGCACTACTACACTAGCGAATTTCCGCCACGCCTCCTCCTCGCCCGCTTTGGGTCTCACTAGTACTCCTCGCCGGGCAGAACAACTTCCGGTAAGAGTCAAAGGTTCCGACCTAAACTTCCCAGACCGGAGCTCCAGCGCCAGGATAAGCACCTCTTCTTAACGACACGGGCAGCTTCGCTTCCGGCAGCACCAGATAAGTCGCGAGAGGAAGCTTAAATCTTGTCGCTTGTTTATAGGACCACTTCGGTGAGTGGTCGTTATGGTGTGCTTTGTCATGCTTAATGAATTTAAAGTGAGGCGCGACCTGATAGTAATTTCGAAACCATTCGCGTCGACTAGTCTGGGAAGGGTTTAAATTGACTCTGTAGATGATGCGCAGGCGCTCTTGGGGCGGGAGGGCCTTGCTAGGGCGTTGCAATCCGCCCCGCCTGCCGAGCAGAAATCGGGCGATTTCCGTTTTCAGGCCTGGGGAGGTGCCTACTGGTTGTTAACCGAGTTTTGCTTAATGATTGTTTTTCTGTTTATGGTAAATTTAGCCGGATCTTGCCTTTAAGTTTTAGTTAATGAGCAGTTTAAGCGCTCTGGAAATGCTTCTTCACAGTTCGGGTAGCCTCCGAGACTTCGCGCAAATTCAGAAGTTGAGTGCGGCACTTAACTGGTGTTACAGCATTCTTCTCCTTACTTAAGCATAGTCGTTTAATCTGAGTATTACCCGTTTATCCCAAATTAAAATCTGGGCGGGGAGAAACGCTAGCCCAAGAGAGAATCTTGTCCTGTTGTTTTAAAAAGTAAAGTACCCATTTTATCTCTGGGTTTGACCTAAGTGGACGTTTCTGAGCTAAAATAGAAAAATAATGGAAATTTATCACACGGGGATTCATTTTTATGCATTTGGAGATGAAGACATTTTGTTAAACGAATTTGTACGCTGAAGCGAAGCAGATTCTAAAGTGTGTGGTGTATTTAAATTTCCCAGTCTGACTTTAGATAAAATTGTGCATTTAATTTTTCAGAAATTAAAATAGGATAATTGAGAAGTAAAGTTCTGATCACAAGTTAACGTGTTTATTAAAATATTACTGATTTTAAGTTTTTACGTTGGAACACCTTTTAGAGGCTTAAATCGGTACCCACGGTTAAATACTGGTTTGATTTAATGTGATACTTCACTGCCTTTATTGCACACACAAGATAAAGTTATTAAAGGAATTAAGTAATAAATATTTACTCAGGTACTCATTGATTTAATTTGATGTTGTACGAGGAATATAGTATAAAAAGTTCAAATATGACCCTGATATTTTCTCTTGCAACACTAGAAATTGTAATGAGCCACCTTCACTCTTTTCTTATTCCTGTTTGTCTTAATATACAAGTAATTATTTTAACAAAAATTCCTGAAACCCAAAAATCCTAAAACAATTTTCTTATTTGTTGCTCAAACCACTTACTTGTTCATGTAAATGATACCTTCACTTAATAATATTTGAGCACAGGAAGATCATTTATTCTGAATATTATAGCTTAAAGCTATTTTCTTTTTTATATTTTATTGATTATGCTATTACAGTTGCTCCAAGTTTTTCCTCCTTTTCCCCCTCTGCCTGGTACCCCCCTTCCCTCCAGCAGTCCCCCCACCCTTAGTTCATGTCCATGCATCATGCATATAAATTATTTGGCTTCTCCATTTCCTATACTATTCTTGATATCCACCTATTTTGACCTACAATTGTGCTTCTTAATCCCTGTACCTTTCTCCCATTTTCTTCCTTCCCCTTCCCAGCTGATAATCCTCCAAATAATTTCCATATCTATGATTCTGTTTCTGTTCTGCATATTTGCTTAGTTTGTTTTTTTTAGATTCTGTTGGTGATAGTTATAATTTTTTTGCCCTTTTAACATTCACAATTTTGATCTTTTTCCTAAATAAGTCCCTTTAACATTTCATGTAATAATGGCTTGGTGATTATGAACTCTTTTACCTTTACGTTCTCTGAGAAGCACTTTATCTGCCCTTCCATTCTAAATGATAGCTTTGCTGGATAGAGTAATCTTGGATGTAGGTCCTTGACCTTCATGACTTTGAATACTTTTTCCCAGCCCCTTCTTGCCTGCCAGATTCTTTTGAGAAATCAGCTGATAGTCTTATGGGAACTCCTTTGTAGGTAACTGTCTGCTTTTCTTTTGCTGCTTTTAAGATTCTCTCTTTATCTTTAACCTTTGATATTTTAATTAAGATGTGTCTTGGTGTGGACCTCTTTTGGTCCAACTTGTTTGGGACTGCATGTGCTTCCTGGACTTGTATGTCTATTTCTTTCTCCTTTCTGCAGGAAAGTTTTCGTTCATTATTTTTTTCATATAAGTTTTTAATTTCTTGCTCTTCCTTTTCTCCTTCTGGCACCCCTATGCTTTGGATGTTGGTATGTTTAAAGTTGTCCCAGAGGTTCCTAATCTTGTTCTCAATTTTTTAAATTCTTTTTTCCTCCTGCAGTTCTGATTGAATGTTTTTTCCTTCCTTGTGTTCCAAATCATTGATTTGATTCTAAGGTCCATCTTTTCAACTGTTGGTTTCGTGTGGGTTTTTCTTGATTTTACTTATTGTAAACTGTATTTCTCCCTTATGTTTTTCTATACTCAATGAGATCTTTTCAGCATTCTGACCACCAGTGTTTTGAACTCTGCATCTGATAGGTTGACTAGTTCCATGTTGCTTAGTTCTTTTTCTGGGGCTCTGCTCTGTTCTTTCATTTGGGTCATATTTCTTTGTCTCCTCAATTTGGTAGCCTCCTTGTGTTTGTTTCTGTGTATTAAGTAGAGCTGCCTTGACTCCCTGTCTTAGTGGAATTGTTGGTTGTAGGAGGGTCACCTGTAAATTTTGTGGGACAGAGCCTTAGGTAATGGCTAGGTCTGGTAACTCACTTCACTGCTTTGTGGTTTTGTGTGGAGACAGGGCTCGGAGAGGGGACAGTGTCACTTCCTGGCTCCTGAAGGTTTGTCCAGCACTTGCCCCATTTTCAGTCACTTCACCTACTTCCTTTATGTGACCAGTGCCCATCCAGCTGTTGCCCTGGTGATGAATTCCAGACAGGGTTGGGATTACGTATGTTCTCAGTCCATTCTGGCCCTCTAAAGGGACTCTTGAAAATCCGGCAGCTTCTTCTGCCACCCCAACTCTACTGGTTTCAGCCAGGAGTTATGGGGACCTGTCTTCTCTGTGTTGGGACCCTGGACTGTGTGGTCTGGCGTGGGGCTGGGATTGCTTGCTCCTAAGGTATCTCTCCTGATTTTTATCCACCACACATGAGTGTGGGACCACCTATTCCATTGCCACCTCTCTGTGCCACACTGTATCTCCATGCCCCTCTACCCATGACCTTGACCCCATCCCTCCTACCCATTTGGATGAATGTGGCTTTATTAAAACCTTAGTTGTCAGACTTCCATACAGCTCGATTTTTTTTGACAGTTCTGGTTGTTACTTGTTTTGAGATATTGTTGTAATTCTCCCTGTGGTTGCACAAGAAGGTGAAGCATGTTTACCTATGACTCCATCTTGACTGGAAGTCCTAAAGCCATCTTCTTATTACCAATGCAAATGGATGTTTTCTAGGGACCAAAAGATGAATGTACTTTGAAAAGAAAATAAATCTTCTATTTCTTTAAGTTATCCATGTATGTAAATACAAAATATTACCAGCTAACTTTCAACCATCTACTTAAGACACTACTTTTGTGAATTGATTTTTCTTTTCTTTTTTTCCCATTTTCTATTTGTCCTTGTCATCTGTCTTTACTCAGAACTAGAGCTTGTGAACCCTATTAGACTATAATCTTATTATAAAGTATGCAGCTGTTGAATCATTTGGGTTTTGTTGTTAGTAAAAATATTATAAACATTGCCAAAAAAAAATAAACTATTAATGAAAGGAATGGGGTTTTTAAATACTTTTCCTTGTAAAGATTTTGAGAAAGATGGTTCTCTGTTACTTTGAACAGCTTAATATGGATGATAATACTTAAATTGTTTTAAGAATAATGATATGTTGATTTACCGTTTGTAAAAGACTTTTCAAATCCATCATTTCATTGATCCACATAATTGTGAAAAAGGAGGGATAAGTATTATGTCCTTTTTCCAGATGTGGATACTGAGATTTATGTAGCTCACACACTAGAAATTCTGACTTGTAAAAACCTTACCTTCTTGGACACCCTATACATGTAGTTCCACATGTATGCAGGCAGTATTTTCCAAAAGGGAACTTTGGAACGTGTGCTCTGTTTTAATCCAGTGCTACCTCTTCCACTGGGAAATGAAAGTAATTACTTATTTATTGGCATATAATTTAATGTCCATTATGTCCCAAACACTGTGTGAAACAGTATAAACATTAAGAATTAGTAAGACCTTATTCTTTATTTATAATTTGAATTATTTATTACAGAATCACTTTATGACTTTTCTAGCAGAGGCCTGAACCAAATATTGTGAAAGCTGAGGATGACAAATAATTCCTAGTGTAGCAGAAGGGAAAGAAACTAACATGAAATTTGAAGCAACAAAGACCAAGGTTCAAATGTCACTGTGTGAACTCACTAACTGTGTTGCCTTGTGTAAACTGGATAATCTGTCTGAACCTCAGTTTTCTTATCTATAAGGTGGTTGTAAAAATAGTACCTATTCCATAGAATGTTTGCAGTTATTTTTTTCATTGCTTATGTGCTTAATTTATTTTAGTTTTTAAACACTTGTTCTCCCTATAGTTTTGACTTTCCAGTTGTCATATAAGTAAAGTAGTAGCATATAGAATATAGCCTTTTGTATATGGCTTCTTTCACTTAGCCTAATGATTTTGAGACGCATCCATATTACTAGGCTTATTTGTAGTTTGTTTCCCGTCAATTCTGGATAGTATTTCATTGTGTGGATGTGCCACAATTTGTTTATCCATTCACCAATTGAACATTTGGATTGTTTTCAGGTTTTGGCTGTTATGAATAAAGCTTCTAGAAATAG